CTTGACACCAATAGCCTTCTGATTTGGTGGGAGCTTTGTTAACTCCCAAGTGTCATTTTTCTCGATGGCATGGATCTCTTCTTCCATGGCTTTCTTCCAACAATCTTCTTTTACAGCTTCATTGAATGAGAGAGGCTCATGGTCTGCATAGAAGCAGAAAAAATTGGTTTCTTCTTCTTCTTCTTGTCCATAAATCTCTGTAAGACTTCTTAACCTCACTGGAGTTGAGGAGCTGCTTTCCTCACTAGATGTAGGACCACTCCTTGCAATTCTGTGCACTGGAGTTGTTGTGATTGTTTGAGCAGGCTGTTGCTCAATAGGTGGTACAACTTCTGGGTCTTCAAAATCAGTGGAGACGATCTTCTCTTTACTGACTTCTTTGTTGTTCCACTTCCATGTCTCTTCCTCACTGAAGATGACATCTCTACTAACCACTAGTTTGCCAGTTAGTGGGTTGTAGAGCTTGTATGCCTTGGAGTCTTCACTATATCCCACAAACACACACTTTTCACCTCGATCATCGAGCTTTCTCCTCTTGGCTTCTGGAACCTGAGCATATGCAACACACCCAAAAACTCTTAGGTGTGCAACATTCGGCTTGTACCCACTCCAAGCCTCTTGTGGTGTCATCCTCTTGACACTCTTTGTTGGACATCGATTCAACAAATAAATCGAACAAGCTACAGCTTCTGCCCATAACTCTTTTGGCAAATTCTTCTCCTTAAGCATGGACCTTGTCATGTCAAGGATAGTTCGATTCTTTCTTTCGGTTATCCCATTTTGCTGTGGGGTATAGGCAGCAGTAAGTTGATGCCTAATTCCTTGCTCCTTGCAGTATGCTTGGAAAGCATTGGAGGTGTACTCTCCACCTCTATCTGATCTCACAGCCACAAGCTTGTGGTTACTTTCAGCCTCTGTGAGTGCCTTGAACTCCTTGAAAATTTTTAGGGCAGCTGACTTCTCCTTGAGAAAATAAACCCAAGTCTTCCTACTAAAATCATCAATGAAAGTAATAAAATACCTATTACCTCCATAAGACATGGGATCCAATGGACCACATATATCTGTATGCACCAACTGCAGTGGTGCCCTTGCTCTCCATGTATCACCAACAAGGAATGATAGTCGTGCTTGCTTGCCAAGCACACAACCTTCACATACTTGGCGTGTGGCTTCAATTTGGGGTAGACCACGAACCATTCCTCCACTTGACAGCAACTTTAGGCCATTGAAATGAAGATGGCCAAATCGAAGATGCCATTTCCATGACTCATCTTCCATTACACCGATGTTGCAGCTTCCAATCTTTGTGTTCAAATTCAACGGAAACATCAGGTTCTTTGACATTCGAACACGTGCAATAAGCTTTCTCCTTGCATTCCTGAGAGTGAGAAGCATGTTCTCCATATGTATAATGTACCCTTTCTGGAGCAGTTGACCAATGCTCAGAATGTTGCTCTTCATACCTGGTATGTAGTAGGTATCGGAGATGTATTCTTCTTTAATTACCATCCTTCTGGATGATTTTGATCTTTCCTTTGCCTTCAGCTGGCAACTTTGAGGAGTCACCAAGACTCATAGATCTATAAGGCCCATCTTTGAGTTCGGCAAAAAACTCTTTCTTTCCACACATGTGGTTGCTTGCACCAGAGTCTAAATACCAGACATCTTGTTGGCTATTGATATCATGGTGTGCTAGTAAGACTGTAAGTTTTTCACCAGCATTTCCACTTGATTCTGCCATGTTGACATGCTCACCATTTTTATATGAACATTCATTTGCATAATGTCCATACTGCTTGCAACTGTGACACTGGATATGCGCCTTTCCTCGAGTAGATCTCCACTCCTGAGACTGACCTTGATTTTGTGCATAGCCTCGACCTCTTCCTCGGGCTCGTCCTCGGCTACGGTTGGATGAACTCCCACGACGTGAGTTCCACTGCCCACGACCTTTATTTGGTTTGTCAATATTCAACTTTGACTCCAAAGCTTGCTCTAGCGTTGTGGGGCTTGCATTCTTCTGAATGCGTTGCTCGTGAACTATGAGGGATCCTAGTAGCTCCTCTGCGCTCATCGCCTCCAAATCCTTGGATTCCTCAATGGCAGTCACCACATGCTCAAACTTAGATGTGAGCGACCGGAGTATCTTCTCCACAACTCGTACTTCATCGAGTCTCTCGCCATTTCTCCTCATCTGATTTACTATCACAATGAGCCTTGAGTGATAGTCGGAGATGCTCTCTCCTTCATTCATGTGAGCAGTTTCAAAATCTGCTCGAAGTGACTGTAATCTCACTTTCTTAACCCGATCTACTCCTTTGTAGATTGTACTGAGTGTATCCCATACTTGCTTGCTCGTTGTTGCTTCTGCAACCTTCTTGAACGTTGAATCTTCCAAACCCTGGTATAGAAGATACAGCGCCTTTTGGTCCTTCTTTCGTAAGTCCTTGAGAGTGTTCCTTTGATCCGCAGTATATACAGCTTCTTGCTCGGCAGTGGGTACAACATACCCACTACTGACAACTTCCCATAACTCCTGTGATCCAAACAATGCTTTGAATTGGATGCACCATCTTTCATAATTTTCTTTCTTCAATGTGGGAACTTGGAGTTGCACTAAGTTGGACGCCATATCTGCTGCACCTGCCAGAATGGTATTCTGGCTCTGATACCAATTGTTGGTATTCAAAGGAGTTTGCTAACTCAATACCAAAATATGTGGGTGATAAGTTTACAAACTCTATCACACCTCTCACTTTCACTCTCAATAAAATTGGACAAAAATTGAGAAATGAGGGAAGCTACAAGCTTTGGCAAACAAGGCACTTTGATATTAAAAAACAGATTGCAAATACACTTCTAGAATTGAATGACAAATCAGATGGGATAAGAAAGCTTACAAGCTTCTTCACAATTGGAAGTGGGATTCGGATCGGATGATTCTAAAGCCTAGCAAGGAGGCTTATTTATACAAGCAGAAAATGAATAAACAATAAGACAACACATGCAAACAGATCATGTGAACTTTGGACAGTTTAGCACACATATGCAGTGCATCATTCCAGGTTGTAATAACCACCTACAACAGCTCACATCTCTGCTGTCTTTCAACACACTTTCAGCTAGCACATGGAGGAAACTTTAGTCTTTGTAGTTGCAACATGTGTGGATACAACCTGTAAAGAAACTAACAGCTAGCAGCAACCTTTTACAGCCTGTTTTTATTTGAATTTCCAACAGTTATGATATATTATTGAAATTCATTTATCATTCTCTCTCTCTCTCTCTCTCTCTCTCTCGTTCTCTCATGGCATCTCTGAGTTAAGGTTGATTGAGGATCTATCAATCATGGGCGTAGACACTTTATGTTGCATATACTTATATGTACACACAACGTGCGCTGATATCCTCTTCTTCCCTTTGGCAAGTTTATGAGTATATTGTGCATAACATATTTCAATTTCCGCATATCTTTCTGTTTGATCCATACTTGTCTTTTTCACAAAGGGTTGTTGTCTGCCTTATTTTGAAAATTTGAGCAAGTTGGAACTGGTTCTTCATTATTGCTGCTACTGGAATTGTTAACGGCACTGCTCAAGAGAGCACGTAATCTGGAATGTCTTGTCTTACAACTTGAAGTAAGTTCGTATTTTCATTCATGATATGTTATACCAGCATGCAACTCTTAATGGTTCTCATTACATCCATTCATTTAAATAACTGGCAGGACAACATCTGTATGGAATCCTCAGAGCCTCAGTGGATCCACCAGAGCTTGTTCCTCTTTGTTTGCTTTAACACCTCAACACTATCTCCATGAGGGGATTCAATGGAAAGCTGGATGAGATGGAAGCGGTGAAATACTTGTTAAAGAACAGTGAAGTTTTGAAGAAGATGACTATTTATACTCATGATCCTTTGCGTCCAAAAGAGGAGTTGTACAAGGAATTGTCAACCTGTCAAAGGTGTTCAGAGACTTGTCTAGTTGAAGTTATTTGAGATGCAGTAATCATGGTTTTAAACAGATTTCGTTATCCTAGTTGTAAAAGCATCATATTTGTTTGTACAAGATGAATGTTGGCTGTTTTAAGTTGTAGAATTTTACTTTCAACTCTGAACTTTAGAGTGATTCAGTTATGGTGACACGCCAAATGGAGAATGTGCATGGTTTGATTCCTTTGATTTTTTTTTTCCGAAAAATTTGACAAGCAAAAGAAGCTGTGCTTGTTCCATACGTGCATTGATCCACTAGTATTATGATTAACGTCGTGCTCCCGGACACTCCAAGAGACATCATGAATGCATTCTTCACTTTTCAGTGTGCAGTTAGTAAGAATGTTTGTTATTGTTTGTCTTTGGGAGCTTTCAATTTAGGCCCGGTCAATGGTATGTAACTTATGGTTTTGCCTCAAAGAAAAAGGATTCATGAATTGGGTATGTAACATTGTAAAAATCAACTTAAAATATTAAATTAATGCATACTAATTGAGTAAAATGTGAGCCTGTCATGTGGAAGGTGAGAACTTCACTCAAAATCCTAATATAACTCATCACCTTAAAAATGGTGGTTATGCGGAATACTATGGGGTTTAATTTGAAGATTTAATTTTTTTTTTTTTAATTTTCCCTAAACTATGCATCACATGTGGGATAAAATCAACTTTTCTATTTATCCTTTTAGGCATGAGTTGTTGTTGTTGCTTGAGGTAGGTACACAATCATTTGGTTAAGTCAGATTTGCACGGAACTTTCGCAACACAAACACTGTTTGTTGGCAGACTCCAACAGGTGGCATGCCTATTCTATCTTTCTCTGGGGCCATTCCATTGTGTCGCGACAGAAAGCAACACTCGGATCAAGTACATGTTGAACTCAGTCTAAACTCTGTCCAAGTTTATGACACCAACACTAAGCGTATGAACAACAACGTTCCTTGCAGGAATTTCCACTTAAACATCTATCTTTTTCATCTCCTAGTATAATATGTTCTTTACCTTATACATTAAATGGTAGAGATACACAGAACGTTTCTGGCTACATGTGTAATCACCTAATAGAGTAGGCTAACAAGGGAATTTGAAAGTGAAAAGGTTTCAAAGGCTTGTCTAGTTGAATTTATCGACATGAAATCTAATCCTAGGTTTCAGAAGGACTTAGCTATTAGTGTAATAAAGGCATCACTTTTGTTGACGATGCAATGCAAATGAGGACGCTTCGGTCAAGGTGGTAAGGATTCTGTTATCAAAGAAATATGTATGCGATCTTTTGGTTTCCATCCGGTGTACATAAATCTTGATCTTCTTTGTTTAGTTTTCTTTAATTCATGGTGACGAATTTGACAATGGCTATTAGAATTTTGACAATCCTTTTGGGTTCGTAAATGATTTATACGGTGAAGCACCAGAGCCAATACTATGAAAAATCAACGTGTGCTGGGTCATTTCAAATGCGACAATACTTTATTGAGAAAACTACTTTTTTTTTCTTCCTTAATACAAGCGACAATGTTGGAAGGGTCGTTCAAGACTACAGATGTAAAGGAGGATGTTCTTACCAAATTAAGTTACATGGTCTCTTGCAAGAAAACATCTTTATTTAACGATAGCAAACTAATTTACTGAAAAGGAAGAAACAATAAAAGAAAAGAAAATACATGATAGTAGAAAATAAAAGTTAAAAGAGGAACCAGCTGCTTGGACCTTGGACCAAAGAACTCAAATGCGACAGTATTCCTGGATTACACGGTCAGCCTTACCGTCAATGATTTTTACTTCTTTGAAAAATTCTAAATGTTCCAGTGGCTTGTACAGTCGAGGGTGATCCTCGTCCACGAGTTCGTTTGGTATGCTCACCACCTCTTTCATAAATGTGAATTGACCAATCGAGAATCTTTGTTCATCTTCCGTCAACGAAACTCTATGTCTACAAGGTCGTATTCTGTCGTTGCTCCAAATCTATTTCGAGAAATTTGAGTCAAAATATCCATGAAATTATATAATTATACATGAAGAGGTTAATACTTCGAGATCGATGTACCTGAAATACATCTCCGGCTAGGTATAGAACAGATGACGGCGGAGGATAAAAAACTATCCAGTCGCCATCCTTTGTACATATCTCCAGACCACAGACCTGATTTTGATGGAGTATGGAGGAGAAGCTATTGTCCGTATGAGGTTTTAACCCCACGTCCATTCCAGTTTTCTTGGGATTTTTGTATTTATTGAACCGGAGATGGTAAGAAGTTGATTGAACGTGAGCATCATGATACTTCTCCACACTGTAGTTTTCAAATACCATTCTTGTCACAACTTGATCCAGTTCTTCCATCGCTTTTGCATACTCAAGTGCACCCTCACTGGCCAATAAACCACATTTTCTCAATGTGCAAGTTACAAGTGAAGTCAATATGTCAAACATTAACTAATATACATATAATTTAATGTTCTCTTGGTCACCTGGTGATGACTAAAGAATGCATATATAATCACTCACCCTTCAAGGATGAAGAATAAATAGATTTGCTTCTTTGCCAAAAAAAAACAAATACTTGCTTCTTTGCCCATAAAAACAAAAAATTGCTTCTAATGTTTTAATTAGAACCGTTGATTTAAAATCCTAGGGAACACTATAAACTATTAACTATATATCTATATTTTGGTCCACAAACTAAATAACTACAGAAAAATAATTATGTCTTGAGTTTAAATCTTAAAGACGAGAGTCGTTGACATGTAATAAATATGTCTACAAAATCATACCAAAAAAGATCGTTTCCATTAGGCCAAAAATGACGAGTGAACTTCTGAATTTCTTCAGAGGTGTTATTAAGCACCCCCAAGCCTTCATGGGCAGGATGGATAGATAAATAGGCCCCTTTTTTGTCTCGCACTTTGACGTCCATGGGGAAATCTAACAACTCTTTCAATGCACCAGCGAAGGAGTTGTGGAGCTCCTCCAAAGGAAGTTTGTTGGGCAGGATTGCTATGAAACAGCCAAGCTCTTCAAGTGCATGGCAAACGTCATCGCGTATTGAGAGCCAAGAACTTGTCCCGGGCTTCATGCCGTCCATGGAGAAATCTACCACTGGAATTTTGGCCGCTGCTGCTTGGGTGCTCATGGTCATGTTTAACTTTCTTCACAGTTCTCACAAGCTAAGAGGCTATGAGTTGATAAGCTGCATATCCATGTATATAATACACACACACACGCTTACATATATGTAAACTGCAAGAGCCAAGTAATGCGTATGCGTATATATAGAGGATTGGAAGATATCAAATCAAACTTTAATATAAAAATGGATAACGATGGCATTTCACCTTTAAGAATAAGCTCATTTTTCCAGTTGCAAATAACGTAATTTTACCATTAAAATTTATAATCGAAACCATTTAATATCTTAGGGTTCGTTTGAATATACTTTTAAAATGATTAAAAACACTTTTAAAGAAATATTTTTAGGTTCAAAAGCACTTTAAGTGCTTTCTACAAGAAGCACTAGTTATGTGCTTCTTCCAGGAAGCACTTTAAGTGTTTTTTTAGGATTTACTAACATTTTTACTAAGGATTATTTCCAAAAAAAATTCACCAAAAACGCTTTCAGTCATTTTAAAAACACATCCAAACGAGCTCTTAATCTTTAAGATCATCTATCTCTACAAAAATTATTCAAATCGAAGATCGTTTAGTTATTCAAATGTATCAAACATATTAACGGTTTATCATGAATGTGTTACTTGGTACCTATCATGTTGATTTTTTTTTATACATTTGGATAATTAAATGGTCTACAATTCGAACGATTTTTTTTTTTTTTTTTTTTTTAAGAACCATCCTCAAACAAAGACTAAGAAATTGAGTGATTTCGATTATAAAATTTTTATAATTAAGATACGTTATTGTAAATGAAAAAGTGGGCACATCCCTGGGGAATCAAGAGCCAAAGGTTAGAAATTCAAGGAATAAATTATGAAATTATTATATCAGTTTCGCTTTCAAATGTTATCAATGTTCAACAAACGACAGCTATAAAAAAAAAATAAATAAATAACAAACAAACAAACAAACAACAGCTAGCAGAGGTTGGAAACTGAAAGAATAAATTATGAAATTTGTAAATTGGCAATCAATCTATAAGTTAATGGAATGACGCATTACGATCCAAAGCACATGAGACGTACCTTTATTTAATCAATAATTGCCCACCAGTTTGAATTATAAAAACAAATGTATTTAAAATCAAGCTTATCATGAAAGTGAAACCTCCTGCTAATCAAATTAATTGGAGTTTGTTTGATTGGCTCTATTCCCTTGATCTTCATTAGGCCAAAAATGACTACAAAATCATACCAAAAAAGATCGTTTCCATTAGGCCAAAAATAACGAGTGAACTTCTGAATTTCTTTAGAGGTGTTATTAAGCGCCCCCAATCCTTCATGGGGAGGATTGATAGATAAATAGGCCCCTTTTTTGTCTCGCACTTTGACGTCCATGGGGAAATCTAACAACTCTTTCAATGCACCAACGAAGGAGTTGTGAAGCTCCTCCAAAGGAAGTTTGTCGGGCAGGATTGCTATGAAACAGCCAAGCTCTTCAAGTGCATGGCAAACGTCGTCGCGTATTGAGAGCCAAGAACTTGTCCCGGGCTTCATGCCGTCCATAGAGAAATCTACCACTGGAATTTTGGCCGCTGCTGCTTGGGTGCTCATGGTCATGTTTAACTTTCTTCACAGTTCTCACAAGCTAAGAGGCTAAGCTGCATATACATAGATATATAATACACACACGCTTACATATATGTAAACTGCAAGAGCCAAGTAATGCGTATGTGTTTAGAGGATTAGAAGATATCAAATCAAACTTTAATATAAAAATGGATAATGATTGCATTTCATGTAACATTCTACATCGACCAACAGAGAGGGGATGATGTGTCTTATATGTACATGCCCACCTCCTATAGCACGAGGCTTTTTGGGGAACTCATTGGCTTCAGATTCCATCAGAACTTCGAAGTTAAGCGAGTTTGGGCGAGAGCATTCCCAGGATGGGTGACTCATTGGGAAGTTCTCGCGTGAGTTCCCAGAAACAAAACCGTGAGGGCGTGGCCGAGGTGCAAAGCCGACAATATTGTGCTATGGCGGAGTCGGATTGGGATGTGAAAGAATGATATCAAGGCCACTCTTCCATGTGGTGCAAGTGTGCCGACGAGGACGTCGGGTCCCTAAGGGGGGTGAATTTGTAACATCCCACATCGACCAACGAAGATGGGGTGATGTGTCTTATATGTACATGCCCACCTCCCATAGCACGAGGTCCTTTGGGAACTCACTGGCTTTGGATTCCATCGGAACTCCGAAGTTAAGCGAGTTTGGGCGAGAGCATTCCCAGGATGGGTGACCCACTGGGAAGTTCTCGTGTGAGTTCCCAGAAACAAAATCGTGAGAGCGTGGCCGAAACCCAAAGCTGACAATATAGTGCTACAGCAGAGTCGGGTTGGGATGTGACAATTTGGTATCAGAGCCAATCCCTAGCCGGAAGTGTGCCGACAAGGGAGTCGGTTTGGGATGTGACAATTTGGTATCAGAGCCAATCCCTAGCCGGAAGTGTGCCGACAAGGGCGTTGGGCTCCTAAGGGGGTGGATTGTTAGATCCCACATCGCCCAGATGAGTGGATCCTCTATGTCTTATATGTACATGCCCATCTCCAAATAGCATGAGACTTTTTGGGAGCTCATTGGCTTTGGAATTCATCGAAACTCTGAAGTTAAGTGAGTTTGCGTGAGAGCAATCTCAGGATGAGTGACCCACTGAGAAGTTCTCATGTGAGTTCCTAGAAACAAAACTGTGAGGGTGTGGTCGGGGCCCAAAGCGGACAACTGTTATCAATATTTAACAAACGACTAGCAGAGGTTGGAAATTGAAAGAATAAATTATGAAATTGGTAAATTGGCAATCAATCTACAAGTTAACGGAATGACGCATTACAATCCAAAGCACATGAGACGTACCTTTTTTATTTAATTTAATTAATAATTTCCCACTAGTTTGAATTGTAAAAACTAATGTATTTACAATCAAGCTTATCAAACTTAACCATCAGGGGTGGTTCAGTAATTGGAGACGAATTTCAAACTCGTATTTCATATGGTACGTATTGGGTTCGATTCTTGAAGTGAATCACACGATAGTGGTCAAGGTGAACTGTCGTGGCGAAACCACCAGCTGATTCTTTTTTTTTGTTTTGTTTTGAATAAACCACCAGTGTTCTCGGAAAATCAAGCCATTGCCTGTCTTGGGAAACTTGTCACTTCTACCTTGTGGCATAGCTGATTAGGTCATCCTTCAAACCCTATTGTTTCTCTTATACTTATAAGTCTAAAGTGTCTCTTGTAAAGGATGCATCTCCTATTGTTTGTCAAAGTTGTCTGGAAGGAAAGTTTACAAAACTACCTTTTCAATCAATGTCAACTAGGTTTGTAATCCCTTTTGAAGTTATCCATAGTGATTTGTGAGGACCTACACCATGTATATTCATTGATGGGTTTAGGTACTATGTCATTTTTGTCGATGAATGTACAAGATTTTGCTGGATGTTAAACTTAATCAATAAATCAGAGCTTTCTTCTGTCTTTGCTACATTTGATCAGTTTGTGTATACTCAATTTTCAGCAAAGATAAAAATATTGCAGAGTGATGGGGGAGGAGAGTATATAGGAAAAACATTTCTATCTTTTCTCACTAAAAGTGGTATTACTCACCTAAAGTCTAGAACGAGAGATGGTACGCTGCTTCTTGGAACTCCATGAGATAAGATTGGATCCAAAAAAATACACAATATCCGATTGTGGACCTTCTGGTATAGGGGTAGTCTGCCCAATCTGCATTAGAATAGGTGACTAAAATAGTAGAAGTAGGAAACCGTCGAACATCATAGGAGATGTCAGGATGGGTTATGGTGAGATATTGTAGGGTGCCAACCATTTGTTGATAAAGGGTAGGATCAGTGAGATCATTACAATCAGTGCGGGAAAGTGTACCTTTAGAGGCCATTGGAGTGGAAACACGTTTACAGTCCAAGAGACTGCTGTGTTTGAGAAGATCGACTGTGTACTTGTTTTGAGTAAGATGAATAGAATCGGAGTGGTAAGTAACCTCCACGCTAAGAAAATAATGTAAATGTCCCAGATCTTTGATGTCGAATTCGGCCCCAAATGTTTGAATAAATGAATGTAAAGCCGACGAATTACTACCAGTGAGAACTATGTCATCCACATAAAGTAGCAAAACCATAATGGTAGAATTATATTTGTAAACAAACATAAAATTGTCAGCCTGACTTTGAATAAAACCTTTGCGAATAAGGAAGGAATTGAACTTTTGAAACCATGCCCAATGAGTTTGCTTGAGGCCATAAATGGTTATGAAGTTTACATACATGATTGGGACTAGTAGGATCAACAAAATCAGTTGATTGCTGCATATAAACTTCTTTAGAAAGATTGCCATGCAAAAAAAGGCGTTTTTAAAATAAAGTTGCCGGAAAGGCCAACCAGAAATAGCGGCAAGAGATAGAACAGTTCTAATTGTTGTGGGTTTAACCACTAGGCTGATGTATCAAAATAATCAATACCAGATTGTTAAGGGAAACCCTTGGCAACCAAACGTGTCTTGTATCACTCAATCGTACCATCAGATCGCCGTTTGACTTACATCATCATGAAATGATTACATTAATAGTTTCTGTTTTATTATGTTTTAGGCAAAAACATACAAAGTTACACTAAATTTTAAGTCCTCATTCACTTATGTTCCTTGCAGGAATTTCCACAGTTAAACATCTGTCTTTTTCACCTAATATTTTATAGGCAAGTAAAACATGTTCTTCACATTATATACATCATTATATTTCGCAGAGCCGATTATAGGGAGGAAAAATAGTGTGGTTGGTAAAAGGGGAAGGAATAGTCTACAAAATCCCTTCAAAGCTGGTCAGATTGAGAAAGTGAAATATATCAAATAGTTTTAAGGTTTTGGTATGGATAGGAAATGGTAGAGATACAGAATGTTCTGGCTGCATGTGGAATCACCTAATAAAGTAGGTAAACAAGAGGAACTTCCAAGTTTGAAAGGGTTCAAAGACTTGTCATGTTGAATTTATTAACATGAAGTCTTACCCTAGGTTTCAGAAAGACTTAGGTATCAGTGAAATAAAAGCATCACTTTTGTTGACGATGCAATGCTAACGATGACGTTTGGGTGGAGATGGTAAAGATTTTGTTATCAAAGGAACACGCATGCAATCCAGTGTATAAAATCTTGATTTACTTTGTTTGGTTTTCTTTAATTTATTGTGAAGAATTCCACAATGGCTATTAGAATTTTTTTGAAAATCCTTGTGGGTTCATAAATGATTTGTATGGTGAAGCACCAGAGTCACTAGTAGAAATTTGGAAAATTGCCACTGTTCAATCCGTGGCCAATACTATGAAAAGTCAAGATGTGCTGGGTCATTTCAAATGCGACAATACTGTATTGAGAAAACATCTACTTTCTTTTTTCTTCAATACAAGCGACGGTGTAGAAGGGGTCGTTCAAGACCTCAGGCGTGGAAGGGTTCTTAACAAATTGAGTTACATGGTCTCTTACAAGAAAACATCTTATTTAACGATAGCAATCTAAAAGGAAGAAACAATAAAAGAAAAGAAAATACATGACAGTAGAAAATAAAGGGCAAAAGAGGAACCAGCCGCTTGGACCTTGGACCAAAGAACTCAAATGCGACAGTATTCCTGGACCGTAGGGCCGGTCAGCCTTACCGTCAAGGATTTTACTTCTTTGAAAAATTCTAAATGATCCAGTGGCTTGTACAGTCGAGGGTGATCCTCGTCCACGAGTTCGCGTGGTATGCTCACCACGTCTTTCATTAATGTGAATTGCCCCATCGAAATCTTACCCCATCTTCCGGCAAAGAAACTTTATATCTACAAGGTCATACTTTATCATTGCTCCAAATCTATTTCGTTGAATCAAAATATCCATGAGATTATATAATTATACTTGAAGAGGTTTATATTTCGAGATCAATGTACCTGAAATACATCTCCTGCTAGGTATATAACGGATGACGGCAGTGGATCAAAGACTATCCAGTCACCATCCTTTGTATATATTTCCAGACCACAGACCTGGTTTTGATGAAGTATGGTGGAGAAGCTATTGTACGTATGAGGGGTTAACCCCACGTCCCCAGTTTTCTTGGAATTTTTGTATTTATTGAATCGGAGGTGGTAAGAAGTTGATTGAACGTGAGCATCATCATCATACTTCTCTACACCGTAGTTTTCAAATACTATTCTTGTCACAACTTGATTTAGTTCTTCCATCGCTTTTGCATACTCAAGTGCACCCTCACTGGTCAATAAGGAACATTTTCTAAATGGGTAAGTTACAAGTAAAGTCAATATGTTAAACATTAATTAATATGCATATAATTTAAGATAATTTAAGGAAAGCTAATGAAATGGACTTGAAAACTTTGAGTTTTAATAATAATGACAAAATAAAGGGTAAAGTGAATCAGGATTGATTTTTTAGTGTAAAAATGTGATTTTTTGTTAAAATGAACAGTACCTTGGGCCTTTTGTTAAAACTCCCTATAATTTAATGTTTTTTTGGTCACCTGATGATGATTAAAGAATGCATATATAATCACCCACCCTTGGATTTGATATCAAGGATGGAGAATAAATATATTTGCTTCTTAGCCCCAAAAAAAGATTTGTTTCTAATGTTTTAATCAAAACTGTTGATTTAAAATCCTACGGTATGTAATATTTTGGTCCATAAACTATACTACTACAGGAAAAAAATGTAAATAATGTCTTCATTTTAAATCTTAAAGACGAGAGTTGTTAATATGTTAAAAATATGTATAAAAATCATATACCAAAAATGGTCGTTTCCATTAGGCCAAAAATGACGAGTGAACTTCTGAATCTCTCCAGAAGTGTTACTAAGCACCCCCAAGGCTTCTTCATGGGCAGGATTGATAGATAAATAGGCCCCTTTTTTGTCTCGCACTTTGACGTCCCTGGGGAAATCCAACAACTCTTTCAATGCACCAACGAAGGAGTTGTGAAGCTCCTCCAAAGGAAGTTTGTTGGGCAGGATTGCCATGAAACAACCAAGCTCTTCGAGTGCATGGCAAACTTCCTTGCGTATTGAGAGCCAAGAGCTTGTCCCGGACTTCGTAGGGGAGGGTGATGGCTCTGTAGGGGTGGATGCCATATTTTTAAAATAAAATATTTAAATGATTTTATCTTTAATTTATCAATATTTAATTAATATTTTTATCAAGTTGAGCGAGGAAGTGGGCCCTCCTCAAGCCACGTCATCATTTAACAAAAAAATTGACAGATAAACTAACGGAGGTCTAACTTGGAACAAATTTGTAAGATAATGTATGACATTGTAATATTTAAAACATGAGGTATGAGATTGTAATTAGACTCATAATTGATGTAGTTTTGTGTAATTTACCCTATTATATATGACATCTTTTTTGAAGATACTCTTAGAAGATATCAAATCAAACTTTACTATAAAAATGGACAGTGTTCGCATGCATTTCCCCTTGGGGAATGAGCTTGTTCTTCCATTTGCAAAGAATGTATTTTTACCATTAAAATTTTATAATCGGAACCGTTAAAACTCTTGATCTTCATTTGAGGATCATCCCTAAAAAAAAAATTAAAAAAAAAAAAAATCAAATCGGAGATCATTTAGTCATCCAAATATCTCAAACAAATCAACACTTCATCATGAATATGCTACTTGGTGCCTATATCGTTGATTTATTTTGATACATTTGGATGATTAAAAGGTCTCCAATTCAAATACTTCGTTTGTATGAAGGATCTTGAAAAAGAGATAAAAAGTATTGAGCGGTTCCATTTATGAGATTTTTATGGTTAAGATACATTATTTGTAAGGAAAAGAATGAGTTCATCCTTGATTGCTAGCTTGGAAACTGATAGAATATATATTATCAATATTCAACTGACAACAGCTAGCAGAGGTTTTTTTTTTTTTTGGGCAAAACAGCTGGCAGAGTTTAGAAATTGAAAGAATAAAATATGGAATATTATATACGTCATCGCCATATCTTTAAGTTGAACTTTAAACTATTTCAATTACAAGTAAAAATAAATCTATTGGACCGCAATTTTAATTAATAATCTTCCACTAGTTTGAATTATAAATACAAATTGGATTTGTTTTACATGAATCACGTCACATTGTAGAGTATAATTAGAACAACTTGCCTCGGCTTTCATCTTTAAATTGTATAGTAATAGTGAACATGTGCATTTGCTATTGTTTGCTCTCTTTTTTTTTTCATGGAATATGTACTGTGCAGAAGCTACAAAAAAAATAATTAGCAATTAAGCTTATCAAATTTTATTTAAACTTGAATATTAATTCTTCTAGAATATGGATAAAAAAAATATACAAGCCAACGGAATATTGAGTTAGAATCCAAAACACATGAGACGTTTTTTTTTTTTTTTTATTCTTTTAGTTGTTAATAAACACTTGAATAAAAATGATACTCGTTCATTTAATTTTAAATTAAAAGTCAAAACTTAAAGATAGGATCTAGTGAACAACCAATGCATTTTTTATGTATTCATAAATCGTTGAACTACCAAATGCATTTTTTATGTCAAAAGCGCTGTCAAGACCACCATTTTGTTTAATATATGGAAGTTCAACGATGGGGAGAATTAGAGATTAACCTGACTCTACTGTTTTATGGGATTCGTCTACTATGTGCTTCTCTTCACGTCTCATCGGGCGTTCAAAACTTTGCTTTCGTCTGTAGGAAACAATGCGAGGGCCTTTGGATCGTTATGGAATTGTAGTATGTTGTTGTGAAAGTAATGTCACTACTACAATATAGGCTATCACCGGCGGACCAAAAACCGACAAGAAACCCCGATTTCTGTCGGAAATTTGGCAAAAATCCGACATAAAACACTGCAATGTCGGATTGGAATAGCGACGCCATTGCTACCGTCACTAAAGGGCTTCAGCGTCGCTTTGTTCGCTTAATCCGCCATTACGCAGCGTCGGTTTAAAGCGACGCTGATGTTAACGTCGATTTAAAGCGACGCTAGTCAACAATTAACTAAATAAAATATGCAAACTAGTGACGGTTTAAAGCGACGTTAGAGAACAATTAAATAAATAAAATATGCAAACTAGTGACGATTTAAAGCGACACCACCTTTGATAATAATAATTAAAAAAAAAGTCGAAATCTGTTTCTGTATTCGTTCTCAAATAATTATAACTCAAAAAAAGTATATAATCGAAATAATAAATTTCAATTTTAGGCCAAAACAAACAATAATAAAAATAATTCAAAAGAAAAATAGTGCCATAATATACAAATGTTTTACATCTAACATTCCATATAATTTACAAAAATTCATCCTCCATGCTTTCCTGTGCTTGCCTTTGTCGAAGACCACATATTTTGTAGCTCCATAGTGCCATATATAATACTAGCAACTCCATGCTGCCATGCTTGCCATCAGATCAGTGCTCCAATACTTTACTACTTCAACATTAAGGCTCTAATCTCTATAGATTAAACTCAGGTTTTATACCTTTAAAAAATTATGGATCTGCGATTTCCAGTGTCCTTGCTCTTCAGATCCAACATGCATAAATACAAAAAAAACAATTAAAAACCAAGAAACAAAAATAAATTTTCAATTTAAGCATAAAACTATTTAGAATACAAAATAGAAACTAAAATTAATAATCATAATAATTTAAAAATGAACCACCTTCAAGCTCTTCCTCCTCGAATTGGAGTTCTTCAGAATGTTGACCTTCAAACTGGTGATCCAAAGCAAACGGGGAAGGAGTTGAGGAAAAAATGAAAAGGAGGAAGAAGGGGACGCACAGATGAAATGGGGAAGGAGAAGAAGAAAGTCTGAAATTGGGGGAGAAATGAAAGCACGGTTGAAATGGGAAAGAGAGGGGTTTAAATATGGGTACTTAGTTTGCGTCCGTTAAAACCGACGCAAACGTCTGACACTTTTTTTGAAATTCACATAGCGTCGCTTTAATGAAACTCGCGTCGCTTTAATGAAACTAGCGTCGCTTTAAACCGACACAAACTTCTGACACTTTTTTAAATTCACATAGCGTCGCTTTAATGAAACTTGCGTCGCTTTAATGAAACTAGCGTCGCTTTTAACCGACGCCAACTTCTGACACACTTTTTGAAATTCACATAGCGTCGCTTTAATGACACTAGCGTCGGTTAAAACCGACACTAAGTCTCTCCATCCATTCAAACAAGCGGGAAATTTCCCGCCTAATATTTCAAATACTATAATTTTATAACCCTAAAAAATACTATAATAATTATATATATTAATGTAACAATTTTATACCCCTAAAAACTATAATAATTATATATATATATATATATTAAATTAAATTTTAAAAATTGGTGACCGTTGGATCAGTTTCAATATACATACCATTCAATTTCTTTAAGTGTTATACATACAAAATAAATAAATTTAAATCTACTTAATAAATATATATATATATATACACACACCATTGAACTTGATGGGATACAAATTCTATGGAACTTTTCGATGGTTATAAAACGAAAAACTAATTTAAATCAATATGTCGCTTAAAAGCGACGCTGGGTTTCAAAATATTTTAAAAAACTAATTTAAATTGAAGATCGAATTCATTCATTCTATTCATATAGGGTCAAGGAATGTAGCTGTAAAAAATCATCAAAATCGGAGTTAAAATAACCGTTAAATCGTGATTTTTCGTTTATAACCGTCGAAAAGCTTTGTCCCGTTACTTGATCTCTGAATGTTTGTTTTTTGTGATTTTTTGCTGATGTGATCTTGAAGCATATGCAAACAAGTTTGACGGTTGGGATCGTTGAAATTAGTTTCGGAGAATTCGTATCCCATCAAAACAATAGATTGACTAATACTTAGAGTTTATTTATACTTTCATTAAGTATAACATAAGATTTTTTGGTATCTACTTGTGTAAATATTTTAATTTGAAGATCGAATTCATTCATTGTATTCATATAGGGTCAAGGAGTGTAGCTGTAAAAAATCATCAAAATCGGAGTTAAAATAACCGTTAAATCGTGATTTTTCGTTTATAACCGTCGAAAAGCTTTGTCCCGTTACTTGATCTCTGAATGTTTGTTTTTTGTGATTTTTTGCTGACGTGATCTCGAAGCATATGCAAAAAAGTTTGACGGATGGGATCGTTGAAATTAGTTTCGGAGAATTCGTATCCCATCAAAACAATAGATTGACTAACACTTAGAGTTTATTTATACTTTCATTAAGTATAACATAAGATTTTGTGGTATCCACTTGTGTAAATATTTTAAATTGAAGATCGAATTCATTCATTCTATTCATATAGGGTCAAGGAATGTAGCTGTAAAAAATCATCAAAATCGGAGTTAAAATAACCGTTAAATCGTGATTTTTCGTTTATAACCGTCGAAAAGCTTTGTCCCGTTACTTGATCTCTGAATGTTTGTTTTTTGTGATTTTTTGCTGACGTGATCTCGAAGCATATGCAAACAAGTTTGACGGTTGGGATCGTTGAAATTAGTTTCGGAGAATTCGTATCCCATCAAAACAATAGATTGACTAACACTTAGAGTTTATTTATACTTTCATTAAGTATAACATAAGATTTTGTGGTATCCACTTGTGTAAATATTTTAAATTGAAGATCGAATTCATTCATTCTATTCATATAGGGTCAAGGAATGTAGCTGTAAAAAATCATCAAAATCGGAGTTAAAATAACCGTTAAATCGTGATTTTTCGTTTATAACCGTCGAAAAGCTTTGTCCCGTTACTTGATCTCTGAATGTTTGTTTTTTGTGATTTTTTGCTGATGTGATCTCGAAGCATATGCAAACAAGTTTGACGGTTGAGATCGTTGAAATTAGTTTCGGAGAATTTGTATCCCATCAAAACAATAGATTGACTAACACTTAGAGTTTATCTATACTTTCATTAAGTATAACATAATATTTTGTGGTATCCACTTGTGTAAATATTTTAATTTGACGATCGAATCCATTCATTGTATTCATATAGGGTCAGGAGTGTAGGTGTAAAAAATCATCAAAATCGGAGTTAAAATAACCGTTAAATCGTGATTTTTCGTTTATAACTGTCGAAATTAGTTTCATAGAATTCGTATCCAATCAAGTTCAATGGTGTGTGTGTATATATATATATTAAGTAGATTTAAATTTATTTATTTTGTATGTATAACACTTAAGAAATTGAATCGTATGTATATTTAAGCCAATCCAATGATCACCAATTTTTTAAAATTTAATTTAATATATATATATATATATAATTATTATAGTTTTTAGGGATATAAAATTTAATTTAATATATATATAATTTAATATATATATATATATATATATACACACTTTATGTCGCTTAAAAGCGACACTAGTATTTAAAAATTATTAAAATACGTCGGTTTAAAAGCGACATAAACATTTAATAACGCTTATAAGCGACAGTAAATCCGACGTCATGTTCAGTTAGTGTCGCAACTGCCTAATCCGCTACTATATTAGATTAAAGCGACACCACCCTCCGACACTATAGCCCCCTTTTGTAGTAGTGTGTGCCTTTAGAAATTATGGATCAGAAATTTGATGTGCGGATCTTTCGAATTAAAATAATTAGGATTGTTGACCTTTGCGTGAACCACTTTGAATGATGGTTGATTTTTTGGCCAACATGTCCCGAATCATTCTTGAATATTGTAGTTGGCATGTACAATCTAGAACTATGTGTTTTATCAATAGATTTTTGAGACGAGACTTGTGCTTTGTTTATAGGCATTGATTGTACTTAAGCACTTGAACTTTGTACTAGGGTGCTACAGTGCGGACTCTAGATGAGTGACTTTAATATATGCAATACAGTGATTAACCTTGAAATTCTCATGTGATATACTTTATGGATGTGGCATTGAATTATAAATATGTTTTCTATTAAAATTAATGTTGCTTTTCAATTCAGTCATCGGTCTATTATAAGGAATGTGTTCTTCCATGCGTATTTGAAATGATTGTGAAATGAGAAAGCTGGTAGCGGACCTCTAACTTAGTGCCATGGGGTTTTGATCTCGAGCTTGTATCCTATGGATTCCATTGAGTGAGTATGGAATCCTACTTCCAATTCGGTTCCATTATGAGTATGGAACGCGGAATCTTATAAATTGTAGGCTTCGACTGCACTATGTCACTCTAGCCCTACTTTTAGCGTTTTTATGAAATAGAGGATTGAAAACCTTTGTGGGTCAATCTAGAAAGGGCGATGGACATCTATGTGTCTCCTTTGAAGTTTCTAGCGAGATTTGACTATGGTTTCACAAAGTAAGGATTTTTGTTAATGATTTTAAACTGAGAGCGATGGACTTGTCTTTATTCCTATCACATACTTTCAATTATTGTCACTCACACGAGTTTGCAACTTATCTAGATTTTTACTTTGCCGGTGCACCATTCCCATGATGACGGGACGAGACGATTGTGCAAGTGAAAGGACTGAGTAGATACGAGGAGCTAGTGGGGTAAAACAGAAAGGTCATTGAGCTTGGGGCAATTGGGTTACCCTTGTACCCTTCCTTGTATTATGTTGGATTATCTATTTTGGGAGCCCACGGGCATGGTACCCTAGAGTATTTTGGTGTACATACCTTGTGTTTATATTTGTGGGCGATAGCCCACCAACAAGCTTTATTTTGAGGTATTATTTCTAATATTTCATTGTGTATATTGCATGTATTTCTTGCACCATCTGCTCTCTGGAGTCATGTGTCGATCATGGATAAGTTTTGTTCATCTCTTAAATAAATCGAAAAAGCTTGGTCTCTTGCCAAAATGTAATCTTAATTTTAATTTGGCTCTATATGTAATTGTTCCTAGAATATTATTGTCAATATGTATTTGTTTGAAAATAAAAAAAATTAAATTAATTGCCATGTCAGATTATATATCAACCAAATGGAATGATCTAATAATCTAAAACTTGTGTCAAATATTGTGTCAAAATATGATGCCACTCTTTAACCCACGCAATTTGAATTGTCTCAATCAGAGTAACAATCTCTGCAACAATTCCATTTGGATAAGAAGACAAAGCAAACGCTCCTAAAAAGACCATTAGAGTCACGAAAAACGCCACCACTACCCACCTGTGTAGACATGATTAAGGATCAATAGCAACTAAACCAATACGGCAGTGCTTACAACAATAATTAAAACCATGCTGTTGAGGGTTTCTCTCGTAGCAATGGTTGAATCCACACTGCATCAGGCACAATGCTGTTGAACTTGATCTTCATCGATCTTTATGCAAGTGATGCAAATGACACAACTTTGCTGTCGCCCTCGAAGCCATTTTCATGTCAGAAACGCTGGCGGCTTTGAAATTGTTGTCAAATTGTAATACTTGTACTTCCAAGTCTCAAATTCCTCTACACTACAAATGGTCATCCATAATAATGCGTCGGTGCAAAAGCTTTTCTCTTGCTACTTTTGTTCTTGAAGAACAAGCCTGCTATGAGCAGAGCAAACTACATTACTCAACCGACCCAAGGAACTATCGACAATCTATACTAAGCCAACTGCCCCTTCTCCTATACCCAGCTGAGATGGAAATGTTTGGGGTGGACGGAAAAAGGGAAGGAGTTTTCTCTTCCTTTCCTGTACGGAGGAAAAGTAGAGGGGTGTGGCGTGGATGCAGACCCATCACATTCTACCACTTAAAAATTGGACAGATTGGAGGAATGAAACAAATTAAATCACAATACGGTTTGATGCAAGCTCAAATTGTAAACATGGGAACATAAACCTGTACGCACCACATATGAGAAACTGGCTCTTACAGTCAGAAATGACCGATTAAGCAGCAATTCAAGGACTCCCCTCAACAAATCTAATGAGAAAATTGACCAATACTATCAAGTCTCGACCAATACGAAACTAAGTTGCAATTCTTCTGGGTGCAGACCAAAAGGAAATTCCTAACAAGTCTCATTTTATATCAACTACAAAGAGAGCATTTTGGAGTTCCTTTCAGCAGATTGGTCCTATAATAATTCATCATCAGGCAGACTATTATCGTTTCTTGTGATCAAAGAAAAGAGAACGCTTCAATGTCACCGAAACTATGATTTTTTGTTCAACAGGATCCAAAACCAGTTAGTCCAACTAATACCAATCATGCAATCAAACGAGAAGGAGTTGCTTACCTTTCCTACTTGCATTGAACAGATTAAAACAGGAATCCAACAATATGTGCATATACATATGCCAAAGTCAGAAAATTCTGATCAGATGGAAAACATCAAGCAATTACTAAACTAACTCAAAAATTGCAATAACAAAGCACCAATAGCAAAAGCTTTCCACAATATCGATCCAATCCCTAACTACGACTGATTAAACCTGCAAAGCAAACCCAAGTTTCTAAAGTTACCCAACAATGTAAACAAATTTCTATTATGCTACTAAATGCATAAAAAACCCGACATTTCAATTTTCATCTCGAAGTTTCAACATCTCTGTTCCATTCCACAAACTCGCATTGAACAGAGGCAATCAGGAAACAACGATATATGTATATACATAAGCCAAAGTCAGAACCATCTGATCAGATGAGAAAAGTAAAGCAGTAACTAAACAAGCTCATAAGTGCAACTAACACACATCAACCCGAAAAGTTATCCACAATGTCGACCGAAATCCCTAATTCAGGTCCATTAAAACCAGCATTGTAATCCAAATTTCTAAACTTACCCAACATTGTAAGCAATCGTGCTAAAGCCATAGAAAATCGACATTTGAATTCTCACCGCAACAATGTCGAATTGCAATCCACTAAGCACCCCTAAGATTCAATTGCCTAGCAATCTCATAAGCAATGAAAGCATCAACAGCAGCATACTGAATCTGATCATAAGTAAGCCACTGACTGTCCCACCTGCTCATCGTCACCCTCTTCGGCTTCTGCAGCTCCTTCCCCAGCACTGCGCTCGCCAACCGCTTCAACCCGGCGTTCCCCAGCTCCAAAACCCCCAACCTAAGCGCCGCGAAACCCCGAAGATCAACCGCATTGGCGACCCGCAGCCCGTAGTCCAAAAGTAGCTTCTCACAATCGCTCTCGATCCCGACGCCGACGAACGTGAAGGCGGGATTGGCGAGGAAGTTGGTTAGGGACTGGGGAATCGATTCTGAGTGTAAGACCTGGAAGATGAGGCAATTGGGGTCCAAGCAGACGCCGGGAAGCACAGTGCCGGGCGGGATTCGGAGGGAGCCGGCGTAGTTGGGACCGGTGCAGAGCTGTAGGGTGGCGATCGGGTTGTCAGAGTTGCGGCTGAAGTTAGGGCGCCACTCGACGTCGAGGCCGACGATGCGGTGGTTGGGGTTGGCGAGGGTGATGGTGGAGAGCCAGGATTCTACCATGGCGGGGCTGTTGGTGAGCATGGTGTGGATTCTGTCGCCGTAAAACGTCACGTCGTACTCGTTGTGGGTGTCGTACGGTAGCTGGTAGTCCACTATGCTGATCGCCATCCTGGCTGAGTGCAGAGAGAGAGAGAGAGAGAGAGAGAGGAAGAGGAAGAATAAGAAGAAGAAGAAGAAGACCGCCTGTTGACCTCCTCTGGGGATTTGTTTTGGTAAAGTGAAAACCGAAACGCAGCGTTTCATCTCGTCGACAGAAATCCCGCTGGACCCGCATAAAGTTCCGGGTTTTTAATTTTTCCAACCCGCGTTCTTCTCCGTATTTGAAAAGCAGAGATTAGTTTATGACAAAGTGACAGTTTTGCCCCTGTATTATGTGGATTATTGTATAACAAGAAAGTTAATTTCACGAGGGTAAAGTGGAGATTTGAAAGTGTTGCGGTTATTTATCGAATCCTAATGGTATTAAACGTGTAACAACTTTGAATTTTATTCTAATTGGAACTCGTTTAAATTGCTTTCCCTCTAAGTAATCTCTAGCAATCTGCATCCGAGAAAACCGCCGCGGGTGAGTTGGTCCGCAACTGCTTTTGGCATGTGAACCTAAACCGAAAATACAAATTGATCAAATAATTGCAGTTAAAGCGTCAAACAACGGATCATGATAGGATCATTGAATTACCAGACGAGTGCTTCGGCACATGCTTCCATTCGTCGAAACAAAACCGACATTTTGTCTACGAGACGGAAGAATGTATGGGTGTCTGCTCCCACCCTTGACATTCGCGGCATACTTCTCCCACACTCTATTGCTTTTGTCGAGCATGTACTGTCCTTACTTGATTCTTCAGACATTGAAAAGTTTCGCCTTCACGCAATGACATCAACAGTTCATCTTGTGTCGATGGCTGGATTCGCAAGCTATTCTGCATAACTTTGTTGAACTTGATTTTGTGTTGAGATTTATAGTTGCCCGAAAACCTTTTCACATGCAAAACGCTAAAGTTTTTGAAGTTTATCACCAATGTTCCGGCATTAGGATCCTTAAGATAACTCAATTTTACAGCTTTTCTGGAACTGCCCCTTACTTGAAGATTTGGCTATAGAAGGATCTCGCAGACATAGCAAAGTTATAAATTTCAACATTAATTCATGCTCCTGAACTGAAGAGGTTGAAAATAACATTGGGGTCTTATGATTCTTTGAAAGATGGGGACTACTTGTTATTTCGGCCCCAAAGCTTGAAACCCTTGATCTCCAGGGAGCAGGGTTTGTCAAATCATGTTTTGGAGAATGCAGACCATCTATTCAAAGCCAGTATTGTCCTCCATGACCACCATGCACATCTGAGTACGCTCAAAGTTTGAAAAAATTCCAATGCTGTAGCCTAGTTTTTTATTTTTATTTTTATTTTTTGGACAAAAAGCGATAGAGTGATATTTCATCATCTAAAGTTTCAAACTAACGAGCAAAGGACAATTCTTTCAGTTGGGTTTTGTCATAAAGAGCTTGGTGACAAGATATATGATGGGGTACATAAATTCTTTGTGATGAACCTCCGTCTTATCTTATATTAAATAACGTATTTTGTATTGATGTTCTTGATAATATATTCATAATATTTTACTAGTTCTATTACCGACAATGATATTGACCAATGGCCCAAAAGTCATGTGCTAGCTCGAAAGTCTAGTTTTCTTTTGTTTAGCTATTTAATTATATTATGAGTGTTGATAGACTCATCTCATTGTCCTATTTCTCTACCCATATTATAATTTCACTCACCTTAAAATGTTAAAAAAAAACTAAAATGTTATTTTCCCATCATTTATTATTCCTAAAATAACCTTTAATATATATTCAAACTTTTATAGATTTTTTTAATATATCCCTTCCTTAATCGCAGCACCACATTCATAGCGACAGCCGTAGCCCCAGTCTGCCCACTTACCCCAACTCGCAACCCATCTAAACAATCAAGTATCTTTCTCCCCTACCCACCACCACACTCTCTCCTGATCTCTGCCTCTCTGCCACCTAAACATGTCCCCCTTTTCACGCCATAACCAAATCCTTCTCCAACTTCATAGCCAACCCATAATCCTTACTCTAGACAGCCCCCAAACCCCATCCTCATTTAGGTTTTGAATGAATCTCATCCAACCTAAATCCTATAACCCAACATTTTTTTGTACAAATTGAAGTGGTTATGGTGGTTGATGGTGATGTGGCATTTACACGTCAGCTACCCATTTATAAACAAGGGTCTAAAAGTATTTTTCTAAAAGGATGTATATGTCAATAACATTTTGACTAAAAGGTGGGTGGAAAATAAGACAATGAGGTGAATTTAGTAGCACTTTTATATTATTTGCAATGACAAGTAGGTGACGTGGCCACACCACAGTTCCGAGCCAAAAACTCGATATTGAAGGGTCAAAAATATAAGGGTGCGTTTGTTTGGATTCACTAACCTTCACTGGACTACTCATTAGTGCAGTTCTGTGTTTGTTACATAGTGGGACTATGTTTAATGGGATTGAAGGGGACTTGCGTTCATTAAGGCCATTTCCAACCGACACGGTCAAAGGGCCATAGGGCTAAAAATAGCTAATAATAACACGAAAATTGTTTCACCCTCTTGTTAGATCCCACATCGCCTAGGGGAGATGATCCTCTATGCCTTATATGCACACGCCCACCTCCATATAGCACAAGGCTTTTTGAAAGCTCACTGGCTTCGGAGTTCATCGGAATTCCGAAGTTAAGCGAGTTCGTGCGAGAACAATCCCAGGATGGGTGACCCACTGGGAAGTTCTCGTGTGAGTTCCCAAAAACAAAACCGTAAGGGTGTGGTCGGGGTCTAAAGCGGACAATATTGTGTCACGGGGGAGTTGAGCCTAGGATGTGGTGGAGCCCGGGTCAGCATGTGACAATTTGGTATCAGAGCCAATCCCTGGGCGGAAGTGTGCCGACGAGGACGTCAGGCCCCTAAGGGGGGTGGATTGTTAGATCCCACATCGCCCAGGGAAGAGGATCCTCTATGCCTTATATGTATATACCCACCTCCATATAGCACGAGGCATTTGGGAAGTTCACTAGCTTCGGAGTTCATCAGAACTCCAAAGTTAAGCCAGTTCGCTTGACAACAATCCTATGATGGGTGACCCACTGGGAAGTTCTCGCGTGTGTTCCCAAAAACAAAACCATGAGGGCATGGTCGGGCCTAAGGCGGACAATATCGTGCCATGGCAGAGTCGAGCCCAGGATGTGGTGGAGCTCGAGTCGGGATGTGACATCTCCAGCCCACTAACCCAGCCTTCCAGTGCTAGAATGTCAAGCTTGACATTTTGACAGCCCTCCAGCTCAGCCAATTTGAATGCCAACGTCTACTTGGCATCAGTATGACGCCAACTAGCAATGACTAGCTAATATCATGTTGTCGTCAGGTTACCGTTTGAATTTGATGAATGGCTAAAATATAACGATCCCTAGGATCCCCACCATTTGACCCTCCTTCGGTAGGAGATCGAAATGATTATCGGATTGGTTCTTCCAAAGACAAAAAAACACTTGAGTAATCAGGAAACCAGGGTGGTGTGCGGTAAGGATTACCGGATTAGGTTGGAGGGGGAAAGAGATCGTTCGATCTATTATGTTCTTTTTTTTTCTTTCTTTTTTTAAATTTATTTAAATGATAAAAATGATATCAAATTTCAGTTGTGCAAAAATAATGACATATGGCGGAAATTTGAATGAAAATATCACGACTGACGTGGTATTACAGTACCACTTAATAATTTGTTATGTTAATGATTCTCAATATGTATATATTTTAAAAATGATCTTTGAACGATGTAGTAAATGACAAATGATTAGAATAATTAAAATAAAATTCAAAACGGGACACAGAAGGTGTATACACGAGGGAGGATTTGGATCCCATCTAGATTCAAATGGTGAGAATCCTATAGATCTTTACATCTTAGTCATTTATCAAATTCCAACGTTAACCTGACAGCAGCATGATGTTAGCTAACCGTTGCTAGCTGGCATCATGCTGACGCCAAGTAGCCGTTAGCATTCAAATGCGCTGACAGACCAAGACCACCATAACCTCACCTGGTTAGGAGGCAACCAATCACTTTAATGCTCTGCTTAGTTACAAACCCATGCTACTAGACTCGGCATAATAAAATTCTTAGCGGAATGGAATTTTATGAGTAGATATCTGTGAAGAAAATTAGCATTCAAGGACTTAATTTGTTGTTACATGTAAAACTTATGATTATTGCCATTAATCAGCAAATTCTCAAAATTCGAAATATAGTGGTGTGTTCCCTTTGTTGGGGGTGTGGTGGTGGAGGGGAGGATTTAGTATCAGAATACAAATGGCTTTGATGTCAAAGCGTCAAGCAAACGATGGAGATAGGATAGGATCAGTGTATGGCCTGATACAATCCCTTGTCACATACTTTCTTTCCTTGAAACAATGCTTGCTGTAAGGACCACCGTTTTGTCTACGAGATGGAACAACATTTGGACTTCTGTTCCAAATTTAGAATTCACTGATGGTCATAAAAGTTTTTCGTCTGAAGGTAAAGGTGAAGATCCCTTTGAAGGTTGTCCTAGTCGCTTTAAGACATTTGTTGATCGAGTACTCTTCTTTTGTGACTCATCAGACATCCAAAAATTTACTCTCTTTTGTAACTACCAATCTCATTTCACCCGAGTTGATGGTTGGGTTTGCACTGCGGCTAGGCGCAATGTTGTTGAACTTGATTTTCATCATTGCCTTGATAAGCCCAGAACCACTTTTGAGTTTCCTCAATGCATTTTCATGTGCAAAACATTGGTGGTTTTGAAGATTTTTTCAAATTGCACTGCCTGTTCTCCTCCCCCGTCGGGTTGTTTCCCAACGCGTCAGGTTTCTCCATGTTACACTTCATTATCCTGACAACTCTGTTGAAAGACTCATTTCTTGCTGCCCTGTACCTGAAGCTTTGACTATAGATGGTACACTTGGAAGCTTTGCAAATTTGGTTTTGACAAATGTACTTGAAGCTTTGACTATTTGGTTTGAAGCTTTGACTATTTCTGTACTTGAAGCTTTGCCTATTTGGTTTTGACACATTGGTATGGTATTGACAATTTGAACAAAGTGACGTTGGTTTCTTATGATGGTTACTGGGGATTTTCTAACAAAGTTACTTGAGAGATCACCTAATCTAGAATATATTGTCTTTGAACTAGAGTAAGCTTAGTGCACTTCGTTTGTGCATGTAACAAGGCGATGTTCGATGAAGTTTTACAGTTTCAAAGGGATTCAAAGACTTGTCGAGTTGAAATGCAATTTCAGGTATCAGGAAAGTATAATTTCCAAGTTCAATTGTAGGGTTTGGGAGGATTCTGTTTTCAAAGTTGCTAATGAGTACTTTTTTGTTTTAGAAGAGTTTGTTTTTATGTTCATTTGTAGGGTATGGAGGGATTCTGTTTTCAAAGCCAATATTGTTCTCGAAGCCTGTCGAGAAAAGGAATGAAGTACTGTTTTTGCCAATCTTGTCATTGCGCTTTTGGGAGCAATTGCCAATGTAAAACATGTTTCTCTTTCAGGCGAATGTGCAGTAAGTATACCCTGACTCTTGTTCCTTTACACTATTGCTTGTAGAATTGTGTACCTTCCTTGATACTGATCTATCTTAGTGTTCTTTCTTCCCTAAACATAGAGGCTGTTGACATACGCCTTTATGATTTGAAATAGTAGGCAAAATAAATTTCTGAAAGCGTTTATTTTGATCTGTGTCTATATATTTTCATGAAGGGTTGTCGTCATCAATACTTCCTCCCAGAGGACTAGGTTTTGCATAATTGCTATTACTGGGATTTGCTACCAGCAGTGTGTTGAGAATCAATGTCAATTGTAGGTGAAGTAGGTGGATGTTGTAGGTGAAGTAAGTGTGTGAGGTTGGTGAAGTAAGTGTGTGAAGTTGGTGAAGTAAGTGGAGGTTGTAGGTGAAGTAGGTGGATGTTGTAGGTGAAGTAAGTGTGTGGTGTAGCTTTCATTTGGTTTGCTATAAATACCCAAGTCCTCAAGCATTGTACATCATCCAAGGAGAAACAAAGCCTAGAGCTAAATAAGAAAAGCTTTGCTAATTAGTTTGTTTTGTGAGCTTTCTTTAAGAGTACTCTATTTTCTTCTTCTTGGGATCATTAGAGTTATTTTGGATACTCTTCTTATTCAACACAGTGCTCCAGATATCACAGAATCTACAACATCTCGACTTAGAAGATGCTAGTAAAATCGATGTGTTTACAGTTTCTCAATTCACTCTTTTTGAATAACTGTCAGAGTGCCGAATGTAGTTCGAGGTTCTCAGAGCATCAGTGGAATCCACCAAAATTTGTGCCTGTTTGTTTGTTTTGGCTCGAGATTGTCTCCATACGGAGATTCCAGGGACGACATGTTGAGATGGCAGTGGCAAAGTATTTGTTGAAGAATGGTATAGTTTCGAGTAAAATGACGATATGTGCAAATCGTTAACATATGGAAAAGAAGAAGTTGCACCAGGAATTTGCTACATTTGAATATCGGCATTATTACATAAGTATGGGCCAAATTTTGGATCTTATTAGCTGGCTTCTTATTAGCAGGCTAACTCATGGATCAAGGACCGGAGACCATGCCCTAAAAACGTGGGCATCATTAGTAATTTTTTTATTTATAATTTTTAAGATAAAAATATAATTGTATTTGGAGCTAAAAGTTCGACATCAAAATAGATAGAAGATAGTTTTGAATAAACCCTAGAGAGTTGTAGAGATGGCGATGGTGATAACCAGTTCGTATTTTCCAGGGTAATCACAGCAGCTCAGCTCTACCAGGTTATATATCATTTTCCCTATAAAAATGATTTCCTTATCATTCTGTAACTTTCTGTTTGGTTACCAAGAAGACTGCCAAAGAATATTTGAGAAAATTAAGTCTTATACTTTGTGTCGTCTTTCTCTAGGAAAAAATGAACAAACAAAACAAAACCTGCCAACCACCAATTTTCTCCCTTGCATACCTCTGTTTAATCATTTTCGTTAATGATTTTGTTTGATTTTATTCAATTTGGTGACAAAAAATAAGAAGGGTGTGTAAGAGGAGAAAATTAGTGTTCAGTTAAGGTTCTCTTAAATTTAATAATAAAAATCTTAGGAAAATGGAATTATTTACAAGTGGATATCTGTGATCGTGGGAAGAGAATTAGCATTCAAGTAATTTATTGATAAACTAAATGCAGATTATAGTTATTTCCATCCAGAGCTTAAAAATTCGTATTTACTCTACTCAATCTTAGCTCAAATGACCAGACACGGATGAGGGGAGGTTTAAGTATCAGGGTACAAATGTGTTCGATATTAAAGCGTCAAGCAAGCGATGGAGATAGAATCACTGCATTGCCTGACAACCCTCTGACTACACGATGGGAAAATGTATGTGTTTCTAACCCTATCTAGACTTCCGCTGCGGGAATTTTCCTGCTGATTCTGGTGCTCTTTTAAAATTTTGTTGAGCAGCCATGATTCATCGGATATCCAAAAATTTGGTCATGCCTGTGATTATTTTCATACCGTCAGTTCTTCTCACGTTGATAGTTGGATTCACACTACTTGTAGCTAGAAATATAATTTATTGAGCTTGATCTTTATGCTGCTACATATGGAGACCAGATTATTGAGTTGCCTAATAGCTTTTTCACGTCCAAAACACTAATGGTTTTGACCGAGGTCGAATTTTATTATCAATGTTCCCGCATCCGGTTGTTTCCCGTGTCTCAAGTTCCTTTATATGATACTTAATTATCCTGAAAATGACTCAATGTTTAAGTTTTTCCTGAACTGGCCTGTACTTGAAAATTTGGCTATAAAAGCGTATGATGTAGTTTTTAATTTCAATATTTATTTTCCTTAACTGTGCACTTTGAAGATGGGTACAATGTTTTACATGAGCTTTTGCTCGAAAACCTTGATGCCCGCTGGGTTTCTCAGATTATATTTTACAGAAAGCGCATTTTCTATTCAAAGCCAAGATTGACCTCCATGACCATCATGCAAATGAACCAATTCCTCAATTCTGACCGTGGAACCAAGCTTCCGGCAAGGATTTACAATGTTAAACATCTATCCCTTTCAGCTCATCTTTTTAAGGTAAGTAAATCGGAACTTGTTTCATTTACAATTGTAAGAAGGAAATGGAAGGGGTAATTTGGATGAAGTGAAGGATGCTACTGGATAGTCTGGATGCATGTTCCATTGGTGATTTTGTGTAATGTGGAAGAGTTATGGGGTGCGGCATTCATGCTGGCCCGTGGTTTTCAATCGCTTTAAAGTTAGATCGACTGAATGTGAAGGAATGAAAGAAATTAAGTAGCAATTAGGTTTGGTTGCGAAGGGTGGAAAAACTGAAATATCTCTATATCGGACAAACTGCAATTTCTGCTTGAAGCATCAGAGATTAACGTTATGCATTTCTTTTCTTTCGTCAAGCTTTGTTATGAATTTGATTGCGGTATGTGATATGCACTTTGCTGTCTATGCTTGAGGATTTGGATGCTGAATATGGAACAGTGCTCTTACTATATTTGATTGTTTTTCCTATTATATGATAATATATCAACTTCCTTTTACTGGCAATGAGAACTTGTAATTTTTTTCTCCAGATTGGTTCCTTTAAATGTATATATTTATTTTGTAATCTTTCATAATTATGCAATCTCGTCATTAATAAACAAAGACAGCCCAAAGGGAGGTGTAGCGTTCGTATTGAACGATTCTGATTATGACACATGTACCGTGAAGATTCGTATTGTTCATAAAAAAGTATGAGGGGACCTGCTATCAAAGTGTTCTATGTATAAATAGATAACTATTGACCCCTCATCCCCTCAAAATTTCATTGCCGCATGAAACTGAAAACCCTAAGAATGAAAATTTGGGTCTATCAAATGAAAACCCTAAGATTGAAAATTTGGGTCTATCAAATGAAAACCCTAAGATTCAAAAGTTCAAAACCCTTGGTTTGATATTCAAAACTCCCTTAATTTGCATTTTCGTTTTATCAAATGAAATGTATGTTTGGAATATGATCTCCTTATTCAATGGTCTGCTGAATAGACTCATCTCAAACTGACCAAAAATCTATACAGAGAAAAGAATCATATTAGTCATGATTTATTTTAGTAGCAAGTGAATTTTAAAAACTGTGTATTGTTTTGTGCTTCACTCTCATACTTCAGATATTGTCTCACTAGCATTTTGACTTCCTTTCCATTAACATCTGTTTGGCTACCAAGAAAACTGTCAAAAACACTAGAGGAATAGAGAAATTTAAGTCTTACCCTTTCTGTTGTTTATCTCTAGAGAATATGAAATCTTTATTTTGTTCATTCCGTCTCGAATATAGTATCCGGAACAATTGTTCCAATATAATGAATATTTTCTTTGAACTGTTTGTTTTCATTAAGAAATAGTAATTAGATATTTGAGAAGGCCATTATCATTAGAGGACATTATGGTTAAATGCAAAGTTGTTGGCATTCATTTGTAAATACTCGATTTGAAATATGATATGCTCAAATTTTTGCTCATTTACTTCTCCATTAGATTGTAAGTTACTATATGCACATCATAAATATGCTTATCTTTTTAAATTTTGACTAAAAGGTACAAATGGGTTCAATGCCAAAGCCTCAAGAGAGAGTCAGTGATAGGATAAGTGCACTACCAAATGAGGTTCTTTGCCACATACTTTCATTTCTTCCAACGAAGTATGTTGTTAGGACCACCGTTTTGTCTAAGAAATGGAACAACATATGGACTTGCGTTCCTAATCTGTACTTTTGTGACGATGACTACCCTAATGTTAATGCGTTTATATCATTTGTGGATCATGTACTTGACTCTCCTGACTTATCACGCATCCAAAAGTTCCATCTTCGATGTGACCATGACTACTTCGAACCCCCACCTATTGATCGTTGGATTCACAGTGCAATTAGACGGAAGGTTGTTGAACTTGATCTTTGTGTTTCTCACTTTGATCCAGACGACAATTTGGAATTGCCTCAAACAAATTTCATGTGCGAAACACTAGAAGTTTTGAAGCTGCAGTTTCATTTTATTGCTCATTCTCTTACATCAAAGTGTTTTCCAAATCTCAAGTTCCTCTATGTTCTAATTCATCATCCTGATATTGAATCAGTGAAAAATGTTTTATCTTACCTTCCTGTACTGGAAGGTTTGAGAATTGGGGGATCTCTTGACGATTATGATGTTGAAAGTCTGGATATCAACATCTCTGCACCATCACTGAAGACGTTAGCTATATGTTTGGAGTTTGACGATTTTGATGAGGAGTTCAAGATTTGTATTGACGCTCCAAAACTTGAATCCCTTGATGTCCAGCTACTTACTAGTTTGTTAAATTTTTCTTTGTTGATCAAGGAAAATCTCATAGTCAAGGCCAATGTGGATCCTGTTGGAAATTCAAATCAAAAAAAGGGTGCTACTAGCCATTGTTGAAAATCAATGTCAAAGTTAGGCATTGAAAGTTTGGCAATGTTAGGTATGGTTGAATAAAAATTATTAGGTGCAATTAATGTGTTTTGTGTGGTAATAAATAATCTTAGTTTAATCATTTGGTTTGCTATAAATACCCAAGTTCTCAAGCATTGTAAATCATCCCATCAAAATCCCATTTCTCATTCTCATTTTAAGCTTGTAAGCTATAGAGTTTGTAAACTCTCTTTTCATATATCAAAGTCCAAGTGTTTTATCAAAGCTTGTTGCTTCCCTCCTTTCTCTATTTCTTTCTTTGTCCAATTTTATTTGAGAGTGCAAAGTGAAAGAGGTGTGATAGAGTTTGTAAACTTATCACCCACATATTTTGGTATTGAGTTAGTAAACTGTCAAATACCAACAATTGGTATCAGAGCCAGAATACCATTCTGGCAGGTGCAGCAGTTATGGCGTCCAACTTAGTGCAACTCCAAGTTCCCACATTGAAGAAAGAAAATTATGAAAGATGGTGCATCCAATTCAAAGCATTGTTTGGATCACAGGAGCTATGGGAAGTTGTCAGTAGTGGGTATGTTGTACCCACTGCCGAGCAAGAAGCCGTATATACTGCGGATCAAAGGAACACTCTCAAGGACTTACGAAAGAAGGACCAAAAGGCGATGTATCTTCTATACCAGGGTTTGGAAGATTCAACGTTCGAGAAGGTTGCAGAAGCAACAACGAGCAAGCAAGTATGGGATACACTCAGTACAATCTACAAAGGAGTAGATCGAGTCAAGAAAGTGAGGTTACAATCACTTCGAGCAGATTTTGAAACTGCTCATATGAATGAAAGGGAGAGCATCTCCGACTATCACTCAAGGCTCATTGTGATAGTAAATCAGATGAGGAGAAATGGCGAGAGACTCGATGAAGTACGAGTTGTGGAGAAGATACTCCGGTCACTCACATCTAAGTTTGAGCATGTGGTGACTGCCATTGAGGAATCCAAGGATTTGGAGGTGATGAGCGCAGAAGAGCTACTAGGATCCCTCCTAGTTCACGAGCAACGCATTCAGAAGAATGCAAGCCCCACAACGCTAGAGCAAGCTTTGGAGTCAAAGTTGAATATTGACAAACCAAATAAAGGTCGTGGGCAGTGGAACTCACGTCGTGGGAGCTCATCCAACCGTAGCCGAGGACGAGCCCGAGGAAGAGGTCGAGGCTATGCACAAAATCAAGGTCAGTCTCAGGAATGGAGATCTACTCGAGGAAATGCGCATATCCAGTGTCACAACTGTAAGCAATATGGACATTATGCCAATGAATGTTCACATAAAAATGGTGAGCATGTCAACATGGCAGAATCAAGTGGAAATACTGATGAAGAACTTACAGTCTTACTAGCACACCATGATTCCAGTAGCCAACAAGATGTTTGGTATTTGGACTCTGGTGCAAGTAATCACATGTGTGGAAAGAAGGAGTTTTTTGCCGAACTCAAAGAAGGGGCCTATGGATCTGTAAGTCTTGGTGACTCCTCAAAGTTGCCAGTTGAAGGCAAAGGGAAGATCAAGATCATCCAGAAGGATGGAAGAGAAGAATACATCTCCGATACCTACTACATACCAGGTATGAAGAGCAACATTCTGAGCATTGGTCAACTGCTCCAGAAAGGGTACATTATACATATGGAGAACATGCTTCTCACTCTCAGGAATGCAAGGAGAAAGCTTATTGCACGTGTTCGAATGTCAAAGAACCGGATGTTTCCGTTGAATTTGAACACAAAGATTGGAAGCTGCAACATCGGTGTAATGGAAGATGAGTCATGGAAATGGCATCTTCGATTTGGCCATCTTAATTTCAATGGCCTAAAGTTGCTGTCAAGTGGAGGAATGGTTCGTGGTCTACCCCAGATTGAAGCCACACGCCAAGTATGTGAAGGTTGTGTGCTTGGCAAGCAAGCACGACTATCGTTCCCTGTTGGTGATACATGGAGAGCAAAGGCACCACTGCAGTTGGTGCACACAGATATATGTGGTCCATTGGATCCCATGTCTTATGGAGGTAATAGGTATTTTATTACCTTCATTGATGATTTCAGTAGAAAGACTTGGGTCTATTTTCTCAAGGAGAAGTCAGCTGCCCTAAAAATTTTCAAGGAGTTCAAGGCACTCACAGAGGCAGAAAGTAACCACAAGCTTGTGGCTGTGAGATCAGATAGAGGTGGAGAGTACACCTCCAATGCTTTCCAAGCATACTGCAAGGAGCAAGGAATTAGGCATCAACTTACTGCTGCCTATACCCCACAGCAAAATGGGATAGCCGAAAGAAAGAATCGAACCATCCTTGACATGACAAGGTCCATGCTTAAGGAGAAGAATTTGCCAAAAGAGTTATGGGCAGAAGCTGTAGCTTGTTCGATTTATTTGTTGAATCGATGTCCAACAAAGAGTGTCAAGAGGATGACACCACAAGAGGCTTGGAGTGGATACAAGCCGAATGTTACACACCTAAGAATTTTTGGGTGTGTTGCATATGCTCAAGTTCCAGAAGCCAAGAGGAGGAAACTTGATGATAGAGGTGAGAAGTGTGTGTTTGTGGGCTATAGTGAAGAGTCCAAGGCATACAAGCTCTACAACCCACTAACTGGCAAACTAGTGGTTAGTAGAGATGTCATCTTCAGTGAGGAAGAGACATGGACGTGGAACAACAAAGAAGTCAGTAAAGAGAAGATCGTCTCCACTAATTTTGAAGAACCAGAAGTTGTACCACCGATTGAGCAACAGCCTGCTCAAACAATCACAACAACTCCAGTGCACAGAATTGCAAGGAGTGGTCCTACATCTAGTGAGGAAAGCAGCTCCTCAACTCCAGTGAGGTTAAGGAGCCTCACAGAGATTTATGGACAAGAAGAAGAAGAAGAAACCAACCTTTTCTGCTTGTATGCAGACCACGAGCCTTTCTCATTCAATGAAGCTGTGGAAGAAGATTGTTGGAAGAAAGCCATGGAAGAAGAGATCCATGCCATCGAGAAGAATGACACTTGGGAGCTGACAAAGCTCCCACCAAATCAGAAGGCTATTGGTGTCAAGTGGGTTTACAAGATCAAACGCACTGCAGATGGGAGTGTGGATCGATACAAATCAAGGCTTGTAGCAAAGGGCTACAAACAGAAGTATGGAGTGGACTATGATGAAGTCTATGCTCCAGTTGTGAGACTTGACACGGTAAGATTGCTAATCTCTCTTGCCGCACATCATAAATGGAAAATTTATCAACTAGATGTCAAGTCAGCCTTCCTTAATGGAGTACTTGAGGAAGAAGTGTACGTGGAACAACCGGAAGGCTTCCAAGTACAAGGAGAAGAAGATAAGGTGTATCGTTTGAAGAAGGCTTTGTACGGCCTCAAGCAAGCACCACGAGCTTGGAACTCAAGGATCGACAACTACCTTCACCAAAATGGATTTCAGAAATGTCCATACGAGCATTCAGTTTACATGAAGAATGGTGAAAAAGGGGAGTTCTTAATTATTTGTCTCTATGTAGATGATTTATTGTTTACAGGAAACAATGAGGCAATGTTCCATGAGTTCAAGCAATCCATGTTCAGTGAATTCGAGATGACTGACAATGGATTAATGTCATACTTTCTTGGCATAGAAGTGAAGCAAGAAAGTGATGGTATCTACATCTCTCAACAAAGGTACATGAGAGACATATTGAAGAAGTTCAATATGGACAAGTGCAACACTGTCAATACCCCAGTCGCAACTGGATTGAAGCTGTCCAAAGGAGGAGAGGGTGAGTTTGTAAACTCAACAGTGTACAAAAGCCTCGTTGGAAGCCTAAGGTACCTTACAATCACAAGACCTGATATAGTTTATGGTGTTGGACTCGTGAGTCGATACATGGAAACACCAAGGGAGTCTCATTGGCTGGCCGCCAAGAGAATTTTGAGGTACATAAGAGGTACTCTAAACTATGGTCTATTTTATAATTTTGGTGAAGATGCAAAATTATTTGGTTATTCAGATAGTGATTGGGGAGGTGACCAAGATGAAAGGAAAAGCACAACTGGCTATGTGTTTTTTCTAGGATCAACAGCTTTCTCATGGACTTCAAAGAAGCAATCAATTGTTGCTTTGTCATCATGTGAAGCCGAGTATGTTGCTGTAGCCTCAACCGTGTGTGAGGCAATTTGGTTAAGAAATCTGTTGAAGTCAGTGTGTCATCCACAAGTGGAATCGACTGTGATTCATGTAGATAACGTGTCTGCAATCAAACTTGCAAAGAATCCTGTTCAACATGGAAGGAGCAAGCACATTGATACCAGGTTCCATTTTCTAAGGGACCATGTGAAGCAAAAGACAATTGAACTTGTCTACTGTCACACCAAGGAACAAGTGGCAGACATCTTCACAAAGCCATTGCCAATTGAAACATTCCGGCTACTGCGTGAAATGCTAGGAATGAAGGCGTTTTGATTTGAGGAGGTGTGTTGGAAATTCAAATCAAAAAAAGGGTGCTACTAGCCATTGTTGAAAATCAATGTCAAAGTTAGGCATTGAAAGTTTGGCAATGTTAGGTATGGTTGAATAAAAATTATTAGGTGCAATTAATGTGTTTTGTGTGGTAATAAATAATCTTAGTTTAATCATTTGGTTTGCTATAAATACCCAAGTTCTCAAGCATTGTAAATCATCCCATCAAAATCCCATTTCTCATTCTCATTTTAAGCTTGTAAGCTATAGAGTTTGTAAACTCTCTTTTCATATATCAAAGTCCAAGTGTTTTATCAAAGCTTGTTGCTTCCCTCCTTTCTCTATTTCTTTCTTTGTCCAATTTTATTTGAGAGTGCAAAGTGAAAGAGGTGTGATAGAGTTTGTAAACTTATCACCCACATATTTTGGTATTGAGTTAGTAAACTGTCAAATACCAACAGATCCCTCATACGCAGAAATGCCTAATAGTGATATTGCAGACGTGGCAGATATTCTCTTCTATGCAGAAGAGCCTGATCGCGCAATAGCACTTCTGAGAAATGTCTCCAATGTCAAGTACCTGTCTCTTTCAGCTCATAGTTTGGAAGTAAGTTCTTTACTGTTTAAGATACAAAAACGCATAAATAATGTTCAGTTTCTGAATGAGTTTCTCTTTGATCATTACTTGAACTTATTTTCATCCAGGGTGATTTTCCTGCATTTGACAATTTGAACCAACTGAAGCTGGTTTTTTACGATTGCGGTTACTGGAGATATCTGACAAATTTACTCGAGAGATCACCTAATCTAGAATATCTCGTCTTTGAATACAAAGTAAGACATAATTCGACTTATGCAACTGTTTACCAACAAAGACCAGCCTTTCGGATTCTCATGATTTATTTATGTTACGTGCATTTTAGGATTGTACCATATGCAATGTAGAAGACTTCAGGCATGAATTTATTCCACAAGAAGTTGTGCCTATTTCTTTGTCGTCGCAGCTCAAGATTATTACTGTAAACAGATTCAAGGGAACGCGTGGTGAGATGGAATTGGTAAAGTACTTGTTAAAGAATGGTGGAGTACTAAATAAGATGACCATTGACGCTTCAGGGAATACAAATCTTCCGCATGCACGTACGAAGGTGTTATCAAAGGAAGTTTCACTGTTTCAAAGGGGTTCAAAGACCTGTCAAGTTGAAATTCGATTTGGGATTTCATAATGGCATCATTTTCAGACACATTTCAATAGTTTGGAAGGAACATTGTTCCAAAGGCATTACTGGATCGTGCACACAGTTGTTCCTCAAGAGATCACCTTTTTTGGACGTTGCCTCAAAGATTTACAAACAATTGAAGTAATCAGTACCGATTAGTCAGTTTGTAGTCATTGTTTTGTACTTTTTGTGTCATCGTTTTGAACAAGTTTTGCTTAATTAATCAGTCAGATTATGAACATTATTTAAGTTTTAATATATCTGGTTTTCTAAAAAAGAAAAAAGACTTGCAAACAATAATTGATTCTTAATTTCTAACTAAATAGTTCTTGATCAATCGGTATTTCTGTTTCATCTGTTGGAGTATATCTCAAGTTCGAACAAGACTCTTCTTACAAGAGTAAAAGTGATCTTATTATCAACTGATGCCGCTTTAAGGTTTAGAATCAAAAGTAATCAATTGAAAATATACATTGAAAAAGAAAAAAATACATTGTTTACAATGGTAGACTAGCAAATTTTCACTACTTTAGTTTATCAATAGATGTGTTAGTATGAGTAAACAACTTGTAACTCAATTTGGTTAAAAGCATTCACCTTTGTACAAATGTTCGAGGTCAACTTTCCATTGCCAGTGTTGCTTGTATTAAACAAAGAAAAAAGATGTGGTAGTACATATGCATGTAAATATATATTTTGCTTGTGTTATTCCAAGTTATAACTGTGGTTGTAACCCGACAATGTTTTCTAAAATGCATCAGGTTAAAAATGGTTTCGAAGTCTAAGAATCAAGCAAGATTCATGTTGTCATGTTCCCCATTTGTAGAGAGGAAGGGGGAAGTGGTGAAAAATACATCTAGGATCATAGTTTTTAATCCCTTCATAGCTGGACAGATTGAAAGAAACGAAGGCGTGGAAGACGCTGGTTCTTCCCAGCTGTTGTTTATTACTTCATCTTTCTTGAAGGGTTGTTCTCTGCCTGCTTTTGATAATTTGAGCAAATCGACGCTGGTTCTTCACAGTTGTTGTTACGGGTGGGAAATGCTAATAGAGTTGCTCAGGGGATCGCCTGCTCAGAGCTTCCATGGTATGCACCGGATTTTGTTCCATTTGTTTATCGTCATAAATCAAAACTATCTCCATGAGGGCATTCCGGGGAAATCCAGATGAGATTGAAGTAGCAAGGTTTTAGTTAACGAATGGTGAAGTCTTGCAGAAGATGACTATTTTATACTGCTGATCTTTTGATTAGAAAGGAGACTTATATGAAAAATTCTCAATGTTCGAAATGGCTTCAAAGACTTGTGATTTGTGAAGTGGAATTCATCGAGATGTAGGAGGATTTTACTTTTGGAATCTAATTCTAGGTTTAAAATCGGTTAAGGTGGTTTGGACACGTGAACCGAATATCTATTTATGATTTGGTTAGATGATGCAACTATGAGACGGAGACTCAAGACAAAAAGGGGTAAAGAAAGTCTAGTAATACTTAGGTCCCATTTGGTATTGCTTTCTTTTCACCAGAAAACTGCTTCCCTTTAAAGTTAAGTAGTAAACAAATGTTTGGTAAACGTAAAATATCCTGCTTATTTTACAAGCAATAGCTTCCAAATAACAGCTTTTAAAAGTAGCTTGTACGTTGCTTTTAAAAGATTCTTTAATAAAAAGCTGAGTTGAGCCACTATAAATATTTTCAATTATTGTAATACCTTCATAACTTTTTTGAAAATGACATATTTAGCCATCCACACACATTTTATCTCTTAGAGAATAAAGTGATCGCTATTGTCTACCACCGCCATTCATGTTGCTACAACCACCACCATAACCATAACCTCCACCAATGTGACCACAACCACAATCGAAACTACCACCATTGCCACCACTGCTGCCTCCACCACCGCCGCCACCACCACCATAACCAAAACCGCCACCACTACCACCACAACCACAACCGCCACTACCACCACTATAACTGCAACCGTCATCATTGCCAACACAACTACAACCGCAATCACTGGTGCTACAACCGTTCCTACCACCATTGTTACCTCTGCACTCGAACCACCACATCCCACTATTAGCACCACCACCACCACCACTATTACCACCACCATCCCCCCACTGTTGTTGTCGCATCCACCACTACTATGTCCATTTTGTCATTATATGCGATTATATCACTTTTACCTTAAAATTTATTAAACGCTTTTATACTGCTTGTCAAACTCACAACACTTTTAAAATATAGTTAACCAAATGCTAATATGCTTTATTTTGCAGCTGATTATTTTTAAAGCATAGCAAAAGCAGTTTTTTGAAAAAAAAACATAGTAGTCCTAAACTAGCCCTTATAAAGGGAAGTTAAGAAAAAATGTGAATTACTTAAAAAAGATATGGAATACTTTTGTTAGTACACATTTGTTTTCTCTTATGCACATATTTAATCACATTCGTAAATTATTCTTTAATATATACATAGCATTTAATGATAAGAAAAACATATGATTGAAATTAAAAATAAAATATTTAAATACTTGTGGAAATCAAATTTAGTCTTCGTTGTTATCATTTAAAGTGTAGGATTGTATATTTAATGACATGAGAGACAAATGACTAAAATTGAAAATAAAATATCTAAATATTTGTGGAATCAAATCTAACATTTGTTGTTATCATTTAATGTGTGTGACTGTGTGTTTAATGATACAAAGAACAAATGACTAAAATCGAAAATAAAATATCAAAATATTTGTGGAAATCAAATTTAATGTTCGTTGTTATCATTTAAATTGTGCGATTCGTTTAACTAAACAGAGAATAAGTGACTAAAATTGAAGGTAAAATATCTAAGTATTTGTAGAAATAAAACGTCTGTTCTTATCATTTAAAGTGTGGGACTGTATATTTGACGACACGAGAAATGAATGACTGAAATTGAAAATAAAATATCTAAGTATTTATGGAATCAAATATAACGTTCGTTGTTATTATTTAAAGTGTGTGACTCTATACGCGAAATAAATGATTAAAATTGAAAGTCAAATATCTAAGTATTCGTGGAAATCAAATTTAACGTTCGTTGTTATAGTGTGCGAGTGTGTGTGGCTATCATTTTTATTTCAAAATTAAGCTAAAAAAATGCTTCGAAAAAAAGGACAAAGGAGTATTTATATAATTTTTGGTCTGAAAAATGAGCCAAAGCTGCAGTAAAATTGGCAGCGTAACGCAGAGAATATGAGCGAGAGAATCCGGTAGAAGAGAGCAAGCACGCGTTCGTGATTTTCGATGAGGAAAAGAGCACCGCGAAGAACCCAAAAGCCAGAAGAAGAATTGCAGACCCGAAACCTCCACCCAATCTCTTCGTCTTCAGCTCCAATTCTTCCTCCTGGCTCCGTAAGCTCTCGTTTTCTCATCTGGGTTCTCTCTCACTCCTTTTTTGCTGCGACTTTCTGCGAAAAAATTTGAATCTTTGGTTGCAGGCACGCGAGGAGCAGCGGCGGCGGTAACATGTGCCGGCAGGAGGAGCGGGTGCGGATGTCGTCGGAGGAAGAAATTGCGGCGGAGGAGAGCCTCTCTGTCTATTGCAAGCCTGTCGAGTTCTACAACATTCTCCAACGCCGCGCTATTAGAAATGTACTACTTTTTTTCGTATTGTTTAGCCTAATTATCTGCATATATGTGACAATGAAATCGAAGATTTATACTTTGGTTGCCAATTTGTAATGGGTTTGTGTGCATTTTTCGAATGTAGCCAGCGTTTCTTCAGAGATGTTTGAGCTACAAAATAGAGGCCAAACACAAAAGGAGGTAATGGCAGCAATCAAATTTTAACTTCTGTTCGGTACAATGTGTGTGCTAGTTTGTTTTTTTTTGTTTTTTTGTTTTTTTCTCCTGACTGGGTTGGTGTTGGTTGAAATTCAGGATACAAATGACGGTTTCCATTTCGATGAATGAGATGGAAGGTCTACAAACCCAGAATCTCTTTCCTTTGTATGTGTTTTTGGCCAGACTAGTTCCTGATGTTGCGGTTCCAGAGGTATGTATATGCATGTTTTTAGTCTTAGAATTGTTGATCAACGTCTTTTTATTTTTTTATTTTTGTTATCATCATCTAAAGATCATCATTGCACAAAAATTATTTAATTTGGAGATTATTAGGCATCCTTGCATGTGAAAATCAATTGATGATTTTGATATAAAGCCGTATCATCATATTAAATTGCACATTTGTTAATGCATATGAATTATTTGGAGAAATTTTTCGATATATTCGGATCACCACCATGCGATGTTGTGATTTCACTAATTAAAATTATAGCACGTGTGTTTATTTACTTTTTATTAATATATACTAAAATTGCGACAACAATTTTATCCTTATCCATGTTATAAAAAAATTTCGGTTATTAACGCATCATTATGATGTGCCAACCATTAAATTTGTCCTAAGTCACGGAGATTTTTAGTATATCAGAAACACGATCTGATACACTAAGTGTCTTAATTCTATTGGTTGGTGGTTTTTTTTTTTTTTTTTTTTTTTTAATTTTAATTTTAATTTTTTAAAAAATTTTCAATCAATTGAATTATTACACTCGATATTACCAAACCGTGTACCCAGCACACTGTTAAAACATACACGTGCAAATGCCACCTGGATCCCTACACCTCCATGCAGACTGACACGAAGCCATCCTCTTACGTACCACCACCGTTTTACATGTGGATCAAGACTGGATGTAAGGTGCTTACAGGGAGCAAGCATTTTCCACACCATTCAAACAAGTTCCTCATCACCAAAACTCCATCTCTCTCTTTACTTCCCCTCTCTTTCTCGCTACAGGTTAATGGAAGCCTCACTGGGCAGTGTTGCCCTAACTGTTGTTTTGGTTAGCATTGTAGCATGGGCATGGAGTTTGCTGAATTGGGTGTGGTTCAGGCCAAAGAAATTAGAAAGATACCTGAGGCAACAAGGCTTGGGGGGCAACTCCTACAGACTTTTGTTTGGAGACTTGAAAGAAAGCTCCATGATGCACAAACAAGCAAGATCCAAACCCATGAACCACCTCTCACATGATATAGTGCCGCACATCCTCCCTTTTCTCCACCAGACAGTGATCACCTACGGTATGTCCAGTCTTATTTGTCAAATATGTATGTATGTATACTAATTAGTATTGTGAACTCTCACCGTATGCCAAATATTTGATTACATTCATATCACCAGGCATGTGTAGTACTCTTATAAGTTAAACATGACATGGATTAGTTAATTAAACAAAAACTAAAATTTGCAGGCAAGAATTCTTTTATTTGGATGGGGCCCACTCTGAGGGTGAACATTTTGAATCCAGAAGATTTGAGAGATGTCTTAAACAGATATGATGATTTTCGGAAGCCACTTAGTAATCCAATAACAAGGGTACTTCCACAGGGACTTGTAAATATTGATGGTGAAAAATGGACGAAACACAAAAAGATTATCAACCCAGCATTCCATTTAGAGAAGCTAAAGGTATTGTACTGTATATTTCCAACATGCATTCAAGTTTCTTGAGCTTTCGTTTTCTTCTGTTCCTTTTTTGCATGAACAATTCCTGGAGATCTAAATAACAATTGTGTGTATTTTATAAGTAAAATACTCCACCAGCACTATGAACAATTCTTGGAGATCTATATATTGGTGTAAAGTGATAATTAATAATTTTTCTCATATTGCAGGTTATGGTACCGACATTTTACCAATGTTGTAGCGAGATGATTGATACATGGGAGAACTTGGTGGCCAACGAGGGTTTATATGAGTTGGATGTGTGGCCTTGGCTACAGAGTTTGGCAGCCGATGTGCTTTCTCGAGCTGCATTTGGAAGTAGCTATGAAGAGGGAAAGAAAATATTCCAACTGCTGAAAGAGCATGCGAGAATTGGTGCAACACTTCTAAGAAGAAGCTTAACAAGTGTCTATATCCCAGGATGGAGGTAAAATTTAACTTTTTTTATTGGAAAAAGAAAAAAAAAATACTACTAATGTAACAAGTTCATCATTTGTGCAGGTTTCTACCATCAAAAATGAACAAGAGGATGAAGGAAATTAATAAAGAGATAAGAGTGTTAATCATGGATATTATAAACAAAAGAGAAGGGACGATTAAGGCAGGTGACAATATTAATAAAGATGATTTATTGGGTGTGCTTTTGGAGTCCAACTCCAAGGAAATTAAGGAACATGGGAACCACAAAAACGTTGGAATGAGTATTGAAGAAGTGATTGAGGAGTGTAAGCTGTTTTACTTTGTTGGGCAAGAGACCACTGCAGCATTTCTAGTTTGGGCAATGGTTTTACTAAGCCACAATCAGAATTGGCAAAATCGAGCAAGAGAAGAAGTCTTGCAGGTTATTGGAAGCAATAACACACCAACCTTTGATGAGCTAATGCACCTACGTGTTGTAAGTGTCTAATGTTTTCATGTAAACTAATTATATGTATAATTTGAATGTTTTATATCGCTTACATGAAATAATTAGCTACACCTATAATATGCCCTAGGTGACCATGATCTTACTGGAAGTTCTGAGATTATACCCACCGGGTGTTGAGGTGTCTAGAATCACTCACAAGAAAACACAACTTGGGAAATTATCATTACCAGCTGGAGTCGACGTCTATGTACCCATACTTCTTGTTCACCATGACAAAGAATTGTGGGGTGACGATGCAGATGAGTTCAAACCAGAGAGGTTTTCAGGAGGAGTTTCAAATGCAACAAACAACAGATTCACATACTTCCCCTTTGGCGCTGGTCCGCGGATTTGCATTGGCCAAAATTTTGCTATGATGGAAGCAAAACTGGCCTTATCATTGATCTTACAACACTTCACCTTCGAGCTCTCTTCATCCTATGCTCATGATCCTTCAACATACGCAACTCTTCAACCTCAATTTGGTGCTCACATCATTTTACATAAACGTCGTTATTAGTTTTGTTAAGTATCGATGTTTAAAGTTCTAAACCATGTATTGTGTTGTAATGCATGTATTTTCTCTAAATAGAACTTTGCCGCCTAATATGTCTTGCATGTTATTTCTAGAAGCTGCTACATAAGAATGAGCTAGATATAGATAGTCATAGTGACGCAGTGAGTTCAGCTTCGCCTGTGATGCAAGACGTAGCCTCCAGTAAGAACATTTTAATAGCCTAATGTGGTGCACATGATATGGTCCAAGTGTGATATATTCAGTTTAATGGATATTATTGTGATGGGTAATAAATAACTATGAGTTTCAAGGAAACAGGTTCTCTTTACCTATAACATTGCACATACCCATATAGTGTTACATTAATGAAAAACACGTATTAGGGTGCACATACTCATCTACAGAACGTTCAAGATAAAAGGTTGTAGATGATATTTAACGACTAGTTATCAAGTTATGTGATTTACGTCTTCCCCATTAATTGTGTGAATATCATGGAGTTCAAGATTTTGGCTCATAAATTGAGTCTTATGACTTTACCCAATTTTAAGTTGGTTTTTATTACAAATAATCCATGAAATTAACCCTCACCATCAAGATAGTCTTTGAAATTGAAAATCAATCAATGTAGTTCCTGAAAATAGGTGTTGCAAATCAATGTGGTCATTCCGTCATAATTATGTTAAAAATTATGTTAAGTGCTGATGTGGCACATAAATGGGCCCCATAAGTTTTTTTCTCCTCACAAATGATCCTTGAAATTGATCCACTACATCAAAATGGTCATGAAATTGACTCGCGACATCAAAATGGTTCTTGAATTTGAAAATTGATCAATGTAGTCCAACAAGTAAGTGTCTCAAATCAATGTAGTCCTTCTATTATACTATTGTTATGTGCTGATGTGACACATAAATGGGTCACACAAGTCTAATTAAATTTAAAAAAAAAATTAGAAATATGCTTAATAATTTAATAGTTAATAAAAAATTGTCAACTCAAAAATCCAATCTTGCAATCACCTCCGATCACAGTCCACATTTCTCTACCTCATTCGTTCTCTATTCTCTAAAAGAAATCTCAATACACTCATCTTTACACATTTCGACACCCTTCACCGAATTGAACCTGGATCGAGATCAACTTTGTGATGGCTTGGCCCATTAGCAACACTACTGGAACATCACCGTTAACATTTAGGCGATCAACATCTTCACAACCTTAATCTTGGAAAGCTTGTTCACGCTTCCTTGTTGGTCTGGTGATGCAAAGAACGATGAGGTTTGCCTTAAGATATTGAGGTTATAACTGAGGTGTGCCCATTGTTGGTTGAAAACTATTTCCACACCCCCTCTTAGGCCTTGGTTAAGCCTTGTGCCTTTGAGAATTTATGGAATGGATCTCTCTTCGGAGTAGGCCCTACTATAAGAAGAAAAAAAAATTCCATTGTGCAAAAGGGTATTTAGACAATTTTTTAATTAATTATTAAACCCACATCAACACATAACAAATTTTTTTATAGAATTGTGGCGGAATAATCATATTGATTTGTGACACATATTTTCAAGGACTACATTGATTGATTTTCAATTTCAGGAACCATATTAATGATGTGGATCAATTTCAAGGACCATCTTGATGGTGTGGATCAATTTAGGAACTATTTGTGATAAAAACCTATAAATTTTGTGGGACCCATTTATATGCCACATCAGCACTTAACAGAATTTTTAACAGAATTGTGACAAAAGGACTATATAGTTTTGCGACGCCTATTTTAAGAGACTATATTGATTGATTTTTAATTTCAGGGATATTTGTGATAAAAATCCTTCTAAGTTTACATGTTGTATGCTCTGAGAACTCTTATATTTTCCATTAATATTTAGAGTTTAATTTATTCTGTACCAGCTTTCATGAGGTGATTTGGATTACATATCACCAAAAAAAAAAAAAAAAAGGAGAGAGAGATTTCGTCGCCTTATGTTTTGCCCGACAACAATCTATCGGGTAAAATTCGTTGTAAATGGTAATTTCTGATAGTGTATCTATCGGCAACTTTACTATATGTGGATATACTCAAACGTCGCGTGGAGTGATCTTTGATGAACAATTTCATACGTGAGTATTTAAAATGATTTCTCACTTTGGTTTGGCCTGACACGAGTAAAGTTTATAAGAACTTTTCGTCTGGGTCTTTTCCTTTTTTTTTACTTTATGAAGGATGTATTATCATGTGTGTTGTAAACAGTGTTATTATAGGAATGCGACTGTGTAAATTAGAAATAGGAATTCATTAGGTGTTTGTAGAGATCAAATCCTTTATGACTTGTATTACTTGTAAGCGTGAGAGATTTTAAGTTTGATTTTCACCAAATACGAATTTGAACAATATTATTGCTAGCCTATTGTGAAGCTAAACCCACCTCCTCCCCTTTAGTGTAGATAATATTATTTGTTCAAAAAAAAAAAAGAAAAAAAAGAAGCAACTCTAAACCTAATCCCTTTGATTTTTATTTTTATTTCATGCTTTGTATACTAATATTACTATGTTTCATTATATGCAAATTACTTGTTGATGTATGCGTGGGTATATCAAAAAAAGAATAAACAAAGGATTTCAAAAGAATAATATTACATTTACCATCTAGTTGTACTATCTCTCTAATAGAGATAAGATCTACCAATGCATTTAAGTCTCATTTTTATTTGAGAGATGGTAAGAATAACATTTTTTATTTCAAAAACCCTAAAATCCGTAGTAGCAGCAGCTGGAAGACGCACCCCATGGCGAGACGATGAGCGCGCCAAGCAACGAGCCAAAGTCACCAAACCCTAGCCCTGGCCTAGACAACACGTCGTTTTTTTTTACGGTAGTGTTCCTAACCTCTAGACATAAACCGAGAAAACCCTACATCTGTGAGGACTAGCTAGTCAACATGATGCCAGAAGTCGCCTTCCCGTGATGGCGGGGTTGTCTATGACGACTGGAATCCAAGAGATTACCCAAAGAATCTCATTGGATTAGGGCATCTTGAGGGCACCCGTAACATCTCCGAGGTCGGTACACCTCGCCGCCATCATGTGTGATGATGTCGGCATCGAAATAGGTGAAGGACCACCATGTGTGACGATGTCAGCATCGAAATAGGGTGTACCGAATGGACCTAAGACCTTTGGGCCTCCCTAGGCCATCATTAAACAAAATATAAGGGAGGAAATTTAGAGAGTTTTTGTACTGGCATGAATAATTATTTTGATACAACCTTATTTTACACTAAGGGATGAAAGTTTGAGTTCATAACAATAATTTAATATCGAACTCGCTATTCATATGAGTCGAACTAAGTCCTTCTAGTGTTAAGTGAAAAAAATAAAAAAATACATAATGCTTACATTGGCATGGGTCTTTATAAACTAAAGAAAAGGATGAACCTATAGAGTTTTTATGAGTTTAATTAGTATTGAGAAAATTATACCATAAGCATATAAAACTAATTGTTGAACGCATGGCGGCCACACTGTCAACACAATAGACCTTAATTTATAACAGAAATAGTTTTCTTTCAACATAAATTGATCCTTCATGCAGTTTGGATATACTTGATGTGTTATAGCAGTTTTGTAAAACAACGTGCTATATGCTGTATGGTACGAGCTGCAGAATGGGTCCGGGACTATCATGGCCCCCATGTGGCTCAGCCGCTGATCCGATTTTTATTACCATGAAGCTGAAGTTTGCAAATTCTCTTGTGCAGACTTGTGTGTGCGGACTATCTGTTTGGACCAACATGAACTGTTGAATTTTATCTAAACGGCTCACATAAGCCAATTGAGCTTAGCGTGAAACCAGGTCATAAATGATCCATTAATTATTGGCCAACAGAACTGGACAATAGTTACAAAAAATTGAATTTGTAACTTCCCCGTGAGTTTACTTTGTCGTCTCCCTCTGCCCAACACTTCCATGCGAATTAAAAAAATTTCGTTCGAGTTTCACACAACGTCTCTGACGGCGTCTTCCACACCGCGTCTTCGAATCGACAGTGGCATACTTCGTTTCAAACTCTTTTGACACAAAAGACGCACCTTGATTCGTTTGCAGTTTGTGCTGAGGAATGACGGCCTACTTACTTCCTCCAAAACGATTGCCTACTTGCTTCCTTCAAATCGATGACAAACTTGCTTCCGCCAAATCGACGTCATAGTTCCTTCCCTTAAAGTCACTTTGAAATTTCGGGTTGTTGATTTGGTGACTTTAAAATTTTGGAACCCTAGTAAGTAAACTTTTATTTATGTTCATCTTTTAAAAAAAAAAAAAAAAATTAATTTAGCATTCATGGTTAATTATTCATACTTGATGAAGTTTGTTGAAATTTGAGATTGATATAGGTTTATGAATGCTTGTTGAAAGTTGTGTTTAGGTTTTATATTGTTAAATTTGGTCGAGATGGAGTTATATTTTTAACTTGGTTGAGTTGTGTTGATTAAAACTTGTTTAAATTTATGAATGAACTAATTTTTTCAAAATTTATGAAGTTTTGTTTAGGCTTGGTGTATGTTTATATGAATACTTGTTGACATGTTGCGTTTAGGGTTTATATTGTTGACTTGGTTTGTGTTGGACTTGTAGTTGACTTGGGTTGAGTTGCGTTGATGAAACTTAGATGCAAACTCGGATGTCAAATTAATTCATTTTAAACACGTGACCTTATCAAGTGCTGCCGCCTAAGTTTTGCAAGTGTTTGGACCAATCAAAATGCGTCACATGTTTGGGTTGTGTATTGCCAAATTCAATACTACCGTCGCGGGTATTTTTTGGATGATGCCTTGTGACATGTAATGAAATAATACCCTAAACCCTAGTGATGACACATAATCTGTCACATGAATGATGAAAATGTTGACTTCCATTGACTTTTGTCTGTTGACATGTAGAAAATTTTATTTTATTTTATTTCTATAGCAGTCGTCGATATGAACAGATAGGCACAAACAAAATCGGATTTGAAGCTAAAACGAAGCTTCTACGAATTTTT